GTGATGGTCTGGGTGGCGGCCGCCATGTCGAAGAGGTACGATGCGATGCGCCAGGCGAAGATGGGGGCCTCCTGCGGGCCGACGGCCAGCCGGGGGCCGAGCAAGGCCGCGAGCGACCGCTGAGGGGCGAGGGCGGCGCTGATGGCAGCCATGACATCATCTGGCAGATTGTTGAGCACTGTCGCGTACTCGGGCAGCACCAGCTGGAGACGACGGCGGTCACGCTCGGTGGCTGTGGGCATGAGGGCGATGTCAGCGCCCGCCTGGAGGAGCACACGGATGGTGTGCTGTAGCTGGGAGATCCGGATGGCGAGCCGGTCCCTCTCGGCCTGCTCCAAGATGTCGTCCCGCAGATGTTGGCTGTTGTCATCGAGCCGTCCGGCAGCGACGGTGAGGGGTGTGTAGGTGGGGTCATTCGGGTCCCCTCTGTTGATGTCGGCAGCGGTGACACGCCGACACAGAGAAGCAACGACACACTGGGAGCCCCAGGCCGCCACCCGATGCAATGGTGTCAGCCCACCGTCGTCCGCGGCCGCGATGTCGGCCCCGTTGGCCAACAGCAGGTCGATATAGCTCTCGATGAACTGCTGGGACCAGACGGGCTTCGTCGTGGCCGCCCAATGTTGCAGATTCCTGCCATTCGAGCCCCGCTCGGTTGCGAGTGTGGGGTCTTGCTGGATGAGCTGCCGGTAGAAGGACAGCAGCGTGGCCTCGTGAGCCTCAGTCGGCTCATCCGTCTCCAACGTGAGCGGCAGGTCCATCACCCAACGCCCCCGCAGCTGGATGCCTGGGACAGAGAGACAGAGAGACAGACAGACAGACATCATGATGTGTGTTTCGTGTCGTAAGTGCTGTGAATGGGTGCGCACCTGGCTGGCCCATCAGCAGGTCGAATGCGGCCCGGTTGCACGAGGCGATGGCCACCACGATGGGCGTATGGTCATCCTCACCCGCATTGATGTCGGCGCCGCTTTCGATGAGGCTTCGCATGATGGCGAGCTGCAGGGAGGGCGTCTCCCACATGGGCAAAACGACGGGACAGTCTTCATCGTCGTCATCTGCCCATATGGACGGCACGCTGTTGTCAGTGAGGTTGTCGATGCACAGGGACAGCAGCGGATAGGGCCTGTAGTCATCCGTGTTGCCCGCCACACACAGCCGCGCCTCCACATTGGGGTCGGCTCCATGCCGCTGAATCAGCTGGGTCATATGCTGTTCGTCAGTGATGGTGCGCTCTATGATGGCCTCGGACAGCTCTCTGCTGGCGTCACTGATGCCAGGAGGGAAGGCGAGGTTGATGCCGTCCCCGTAACTCTTCCAGCCAGGTCGTAGCGACGGACCTGTGGGCGACAAACCTGACAGACAGACAGACAGACAGACAGACGGACGGACAGACAGACGATATTATCAACGATTTGTGTGTCGGCGATTGTTTACCTCCGCTCTGTGGCCCCTGGCTCTGCCCGCTGCCCTGCTGCCCACTGCCGCCACCAGCACAACCATTGAGACCCCGACACACACCACTGACGCCTCCACAATCACCTACACACACGCACACACATCCGAGCAGGTGAACGTGCTGCTGTTGTATTGTGCGGTCACTCACCACGGTCAGCGCCATTGCGATTGTCTCCCTCTATGTGCCCGGCGCCGCCATGGTCCTCCTCCTCACCTTCACCGTCTGCAATCACACGATGACATACACACGGCGTGTTGGCTCTCGTTGTACTTGCTTGGTCACCGTCCGCCATAGCAGCAAAGGGCATGTCGGTGTGGTGACGATCAGAGGACATCGCTCACTCAGATGCACACAGACAGCTGCACGAACGACACAGACAGAGAGATGGCTCTTTCTGGTGCATGTGTTGTGCGCATCAATCAGTGCTGTGCTTGCCTATCAAACGTATAAGTCGACGGCCCGCTGCACACACAGACGCTCACTCAATCAATCAGTCCACCTGTTGACAAGGCAGATCTCGACCTGACAGCAAACAGCTCATCGGTGTGCTTGTGAGTGAGCCAATCGCCGCATCTTCCCACCTACCGTTGGACGAGAAGCTGCTATAGCTACGTTGCCGGATAATCCATCGGGCCAACAGCGGGAAGCGGCTGAGCGATGGGCATACGGACTCGTCCTCAAGAGGGTCTCACTGTGCCTCCACTGGCCAAGAGCCTTGCGAGGACCAGTTCTCCCTTCTCTCAGGCTCGCATCGATCGGCTTGCGAGTTGACAAAGGAGTGCGAAGGAGCCCTTCTGGTGGGCTCAGAGGGTTCGTCAGGAGCCAAGCACTCAGCCGCAGTGAGCCCCAATCACTTTGGATGAATTGCTTTCGGTGGAAAGGGCAGCTCACATGGCTCCCTATGCGTGTGTCAGGGTGTGTGCACATGACTCACAGACTCATATATGGACACAATGTTTGTGCACGAACATGAAGCCCATGATGCAGTGAGTGAGTCAGTGCTATAGACACCCCCGCTGCCCTCACTCTCCACAGCCCCGTGCAGCTGTCTACCTAGACCGTCGAGCTCACGGGCCTGGCTGTCTGTCTGTCAGTTGCTCGCGCGGCTCAACTCTCGTGCACGGTCGCCGTGCCCCTCCTGGTCCGCAATGGTGACATACACTTCATCCATAGCATCGATCTCACGGCATAAAAGAGCTACACAGCCCCCAGTGTGCTACACGTCCTCGCAGCTTCCCTTCCCTCCCTCCCGCCCGCCATCTCGCACATGTACGGACGTTGGCAGGCGGGTAGGAAGGTCACGTGATTGGCTGATCGGCCCACTGCCGCACCTCATCGCGCGACCCGGCGAACACCACCTTGGTCTTGCACTGCTCACACAGGTACTCCGGCTCGTCCAGCAGCTCCACCAGTGGTATCTTCTTCTCCTTCTTGCGGCCCTCGTTCTTTCTCTTGATGCCCTCATTCTCCTCACGCCGCCGCGCATTCTCCGCCCGCACCTGGTGGAGGTCCCGCCGCCACTTGCTGCAGCGGTCGTCATAGCACTGGCGACACAGCCGCAGGTGTCTGCAGGGCATGTACATGACCGATGGGGGCGCGTCGAGGCAGATGGCACACTCACGCCCATCTCCCTCTGGCTCGGCTCCCTCTGGCTCGGCCGCTGCCGGTGGCTGCTGTTGCGGTAGAAGGGCCGCTTGGGCACACGACTGACTGGCTAGCTCGCTGGCTGACCAGTGCACCGCTGAAGTCCTCCTGTTTCGTGGTGATATACACGGGCTCGCCGGTGTTCTCTATCTTGTGCTCAGCTGCAACGACATGGCATGCAAACCACAGCGAATGATAACAGGACGGAAGGCAGCCATGCGCACGTGTGGGCGTAAGGTGCTTCCCTTCCTGTCTGTCCTCACGTTTGGAGATCTCGCGCCACAGGTCCACATAGAAGTCCACGAACGAGCGATCATCTTTGCAGTACTTGTCGTGCGCATCGAGAAGCAGACGCAGCCTCCAATCAATCTTCTGAAGAAGGGATTACAGACAGACAGACAGACAGACGGAGAGGGGAACAATGCACACGTGTTGTTTGGCAGGCAGGCCTCCCTCTAGCCTGCCTGCCTGCCTACCTACCTGCGTGACGTTGTGTGTGCTAGGCCGTACACGTACCTGATCGATAGGCCGCTCTAGGGCGATTCTCCAGAGTGCCTCAATCCGGCCAGCTGTGTCCTTCTTCCTGCACGCGTCCATGGTAAAGCCGTGCTGATAGCCGCTGTTCAGCAGAGCATGTTCGACGAATGACTCGAAGAGCATGAGGGTGTTGAGGGACCCCAATTCCATCGACAAGTACAGCCGCAGCTCATCCATCTCCTTATCCTGCAGCAAGAGCTCGAGAAGAGAGTCGCCTGTGGTTAATGAACTGAAGTGAGTAGGTGAGCGGGCAAACCTTGTCGAGAACCAGGCCCTGCATAGCCGAAGACAGCACCTTCTCCAGGCTCTCCTCATCTTGCTGCAGCTTAGTGATCCTCCTCCGCGGTGTTTGCTGGTTGCATACAAGAAAGATGAACCTCCCAAGACGACGAATCGGCCGCCAGATCGGGCGGGTCACGTTCCTGATAAATGGCGGGACGTTGAGCTCTGTGATGACATGATGGCGGGTGAGGGGCTGACGGCTGCTTGCGCGTGAGCCTGGGCTGCGGTTGCGCAAGAGCTGCGGAGAGGTGAAGGCGGCGCCGATGGTCAGCAGAGAGAGGATAGCAAGGAAAGACGCCAAGCTGATAGGCAATGCCATCGGGTGCTCTCGCTCAAGGCAACGGTGGAGCAGGCATTCATGAATGAACAGGGAAAAGGGGCGGGTCGTCTCTTAGCGTGCAGGTTGGGAGTTGCTGCGAGTGAGAGGGCAAAGATTGCTGGCCCTGTGACTCTTTCGTCGTATTTGTCTGTCAGAAAGCTAAGGTGAGTCACTGTGATTCAAATTGCTCATTGTCGAGTGACACAGGTGTGTGTGTCTTCAGGTGCCAGACTGACTGCCTCTGGACTGCCTGCATCTGCCATCGGACGGCCATGAGTGAGATCGATAGTGTTAGGAGGAGTGTGATGTTCGCTGGCTGCGGCCTGGTGAGCCGCTCACTCGCCTTTTCACAATGAATGCACATGTGTGTGCGTGAACGATGGCCTCACGCTTACCTGCAGGTCTTCCTCAGCATCGCGGTGTCGTTGACGATTATTAACAACATGAAATTGAGACATCGCGTCGACCAAATGAGTGACGACGACAAGCAGCTGGCTGCCGTCGTCAGCAGCATATGGGAGCACATGAAGTCAGCAGGCAACGGCACCTCGAACGGCACTGACGCGTCCACGACGGCGAGCGACATCGATGCGGCCATCGCTGAGCTGACGGCTGGGCCTGCCAGTGGCACGGCCAAGAGCAACACGCGACTGCTGAGGGCCAACTAGAGCGGCGTGAGCGCCTTTTCTCCTCTGGTATGGTCGTCCCATCTGCGTGCAGTGCATTGATCTGGTGTGGGTGCTCTACTCGTCGTGCTGGTGTCTTGTCTTGGGTCGGGTCACGGAGTGGTCCATCGGTTTGTCATCTCGATGGGTCACACCGTCACCGTTGGTTGCTCGGATGAGAGAGATGCCACACGAGTGGGGGAATGGAACAACACTTCCGCGATATCTTCTTTCTCGTATGCAGCTGAGCAGGTGATTCGATTCCTGCAGCCGTCTGTCCTCGGGTTAGTCAGTGTGGTTTATCTATCATATCCATCCATCCGTGTGTAGCATGCATACCTATAGGCAAGCGTGTGCGCATGTCTGTCTGTGTCTGTGTGTACACACTGTGGATCCATGTGTATGACATATGTGCGCGGGCGGTTGTCGTCTGCCTGTGGATTGCATATATGCCGTGTGACAAAGTAATAAGTGACTTTCCTCTGTTGTGTCATTTGTTTATATATGTCGTGTGCGCGAATGTGTTTGTTCGGGGGCAGGAGAGGCAGACACTCATGCATGCCGAGAGCGATGCGTAAGGCCAGCTGGCTGCAAAGCTTTTGACACGCAGTCACGTCATGAGGTATACATGCAATCACGTCATTCATTCGACTAGGGCTGTCTCTTTCCTCATTTGTGCAACACATACACACACGGAATCATGTCACTCGCTCTCCACTTATCCATTCATCAGTCCATTCATTCATTCAAAGTCGATCGCGCCATTTTGGTCTTGAGGGCCTGCTAACAAGCTTGATGGCACGATAGATAAAGTAGTCAGTGGGTTAATTGCCTTGTCAGTGTCTCTGTCTGCGTGCAGAGACAGAGAGAGAAATTAAGAGAGAGCTGGAGAGCTGCATCCTTTTATTCATGGGCGCCTTCGTTTCTCTCTCTGTTATGTATGTATGTATCCCTCTCTCTCCAGATTTAACAGTAGGGACTTGTTACTTTCCCAGGACGTTGGATGCATCAATACAGGAAACCGTTTGTCGGTCGTGCGGCGTCGAAATGCCAGTCAGTCCAACACACAATATAGTCACACTCACACCGCACCCAAATCGGTTGTCAGTCACCCCGCCGCGGCGACCACACCAGCAGCACATGGCACATTCACAGGATCGACACGTGACTCAGGTCTGCACACAGAGCTGCCATCCAACCGCTGGCCAGTGGTCTCCGCAATGCGCCGACGCAGATACGCCACATGCCCACTCATCCCATCGGCCTACACACACATACACAACACAGAGAGATCCATATAACACGCACCATGTGGGCGGCTGTTGTGCATTGTAAGCGGCTGTCTGTCGTGTCTGTGTGTGCCTACCTGTGGGATCTGTCTCCACTCCCAATGAGGGATGTGCAGCAGGGTGTAGCCATGCGGCCCCTCGGTCAGCAGTCGGTGCTTCAGGCGTGATGTGGCCGTGAAGCGGCGCGCCCGGCGGTAGAAATGGCTGGACCCCTCGGCCTCAATCACCAACTGGATGGACACACACAGGCAGTTAGGACCACTTGTGTGTTTGTGTGTGCGTGTGGTGGCCTCATGAGACTCACTGGTGGGTCGAAGGATGTCAGGACGACGTCCAGCGAATAGGCGCCTTGAAGGAAGGGCACCTGGCAGGCAGAGAGAGGGAGAGGCGGTGTGTGTGTGGTGCGATGTGATGTGATTGACGCACTTCGATTTGGAGGTCCTGCTCCGGCACGCCGAGGTGGGAGAGAGCAGACACAACCTCACGGTGGAAACCTGACACAGACAGATGGGTGGACCATTCTGTCTGCAGCGCCCACCAGCCTTCTCACCCACCCACCCGATTCGGCATGTGTCGACGGCCTGAAGAGGTCCTGCACGTGCCCCCCTTGGCCACACACGAAGTGCCCCTCCAATGCGCGCAGCACATCCACACACCTCTCAGACACGCCCAAGACGCGGTGGTCCCACTCGCCGCCCCAATCGCCCGTCTGCTGTCTGCCGTGCAGCCGCAGTGCCGCCAGAGAGGCGATAAGCTGCGAGACGGCCTCGGGAGTCACGCATGGGCCTTGCTCGGTGTCGGCAGCTGACTCGTGGTCGTGAGAACTGGCCGGGGGGGCGCCCAGCACTCGATCATCGCATGCCGAGATGACCTTATCCAACACACGACCATCGATGCGGGAGAAACCTAGCACAGACAAACTGGTGCACACGAGAGAGGACACCAAGGTCGCTTCACCCGTCCATCCATCCATTTGTTGTGTGTGTGTGTGAGTGTGGGTGTACCCGAACAGTGTGTTGACGATTCCCATTGGCGAGAGGCTGTCCAGCACCTCTGTGTCGTCCAGCTGCCTTGTCAGTGTGCTCAGCAGGCCATGGGGCATCACATCCAGCTTGGCCATCGACAGCAGCAGAGACGACACCGCCAGAGGGCTACTTCGGAACGTCTCTGCACGCACCACACACGTGGACAAACATTGATGGGATGGGCGGACGGCAGATGAATCCACCAACTCAACTAACTCGGTTCGTGCATACCTACCCTCTTTGCGGAGGCCAAACGATGCAGCCAGTGCAACCCGGGTCGTGCTGTCGCTTCCCTCCTCCGTGTGCTGTGGAGACCGGCTTTGCTCGCCGATCTGAGCAATACGGTCGGCGGCCTTGTCAAGGAACGGCTCGTCGCGCAGGCGGAACCTGCATTAACACACACAAGCAGATGACACACAACACACACATTCATACCAGACATGGCATGGCCCCACCCTGACTGACGTACGTACCTGGCCATGGCGTGTGTGATTTGCGCCAGCTCCGTCAGATTGAGTTTCTCTACCAGCTGCCCCCTCCCCGTCAGCACCGGCAGCATCCCCTCCAGCACCGCCGGCCCATGTGGCGACCCCACACGCGCAAACGCATTGCCGATCTGCGCCAGGTGAGCCGCCTCGAACCGAAGTCTCGGCGCCACCATCTCCAGCTGGTCGTCGGCCGCAATGCCGCCCAGCCTCGCGCGCACCTCCCTCGCCACGGCGTCGAACAGCGAGCTCACATTGGCCGCCGAGAGGCCCATCTTTGGGACGGCATTGCATAAGGCCGCCAGGTCGCTCGGGGCGCATGACGACAAGGCTCGGGGGACCTCTCGCGCCACCATTTGGAAGAGGGCTGTGTGGGTGTGGGTGTGAGAGGGGCGGGGCAGACGCGTGTAGGTGAGGGAGAGAATGGACAGGTCGGCGGGCTCGCACTCCGACAGACGACGAGAGACCTCAGTCGCGATCAGCTGAAAGAGACCCGGCGGGCAAAAGCCGAAGTGCTCCATCCCGTGCGCAATCATGCGGAGGGATCGCACTGGTGACGAATGGGCGTGTTTGTGCACATGGCCAGCAATCGCCTCGAGAGCTCCACGAAGGGGGAGGGGAGAGGGCATCGCCGCGTCCAGATCGCCGTTGCGGGCTGCATGAGACCCCGTTGTTGCTGCTGCTTCTGGTGGTGGCGCGAGTGTGTCTTGATCAAGAGTCATGGGCAGGTGGGCGCTGAACCGCATGAGGGCGTGGAGTGTGAGGGCCATGTCCTGCGTGTTGGCCTTGAAGCGACCACACGAGTCCGCGCCGCCCATCAGGTCGACCACACAGTGGATGAAGCCCGGGTGGACCACATCCATCTTGGCCAGAGCGTTGCACAGCAGGGCCACGTTGCGCGCGTTCAGGGGGTCGCCCGTCTTCTTCTCCTGGACGAACGAGGGCATCTTTTGAGCGGATGGGTCAGCGGCAGAAGCGGCAGCAGATGACAGCAGGCGGACAGCGTGACCGGCCACTGACTGCGCCAGCTCGGGTGCGGCGATGTCCATGTTGGCGTATGCGGACAGCAGGCCGCCCAGGTCGTTGGGAAAGAAGTCCTCCAAGTGCAGGGCGGCGTGCTTGGCCAGCACGCGGAACAGGGGCTCGTCATAGATGTCCAGACTGGCGTACGCCGTGACGATGGAGTACACGTTGTGCGGGGTCATCTTGGGCAGCAGCCGCGCCCGCTCCGCCCTGATGGTCTCTGATATGGCCTTGAAGAGCTCCAGATCTCTGATGGCCGCCTTAGCGAACCCCTTGCAGATCATAGCCATGTCCTTGCACGTGAGCACCAGGCGCACCTCCACTGCCCGCCGGCTGTAGGCCTCCCACAGCTGCGTATTCCTGTAGCCCTCGTTGGCCGTCGCATACACAGCGGCGCTCAGCACGTGGTGCTCGAAATGGCCGACCTCGTGCACATTGCGGCGGTACTCGGACAGAGGGGACAGCTTGGCAGCCGCTTGCTTGCTCGGCCGATAGGTGCCGAAGGGCCGGCGGAGCCGATGGATCTGGGCGAATGGCGGAGGCTGCGCAACTGATGGGAGGGACGCACCCATACGAGTCGATCTCCGCCAGTGGTGGTGAGATGCCATCAGCAACAGGCATCTGCTAGCTCGCAGGGAGGCTTAGGGTGCTCCTTGAAACCGCTGCTGCGGCTCGGGGAGCGGAGCAGGAGCAGCTGAATTGAGGGCTCAAGAAGGTCGAGCAGACGAGGGCAAGGTCGTCGCGCACAGAGATCTGGTTGCAGACAGCTTGTTGAAGCTTTGCACTTGGATGGAGAGTCGTCAGCGGAAGGTTGCGGTTGTTGGCAGCGGACTCATGGGATCAGGTCGGCCGGCCTCACAGCCCATCACAAAGGCAGAGCACACCAGGCAAAACGAATGCGATGTTGCTGCTGTGTGTTTGGTGGTGGCAGGCATTGCTGCATGCCTGGCCGCTGGCGGCGGGCACGAGGTGTATCTCACTGACACGAAGGACGACGCACTGCAGAAAGGGCTACAGAAGGCTAAGGTAAGAATGGCGCAGCGCAGTCCAGACAGCGGACAGACTCTCTGCATTGCGTGTTCTACTGACTGGCTGGCAGGAGCTGGCCGCATTCATCAATGACAATGGTCAGTCAGCATCGCAGCAACATTCATTGACTCATGTACACATATCATGACATCTGTCTGCCCTGTGTTCCTCCCTGGCTCCGTCCCTCTGTCAGGCATCCCCCCCGCCCCTCCCTCCGGGTGTGGGGCCATCCACGCAGCTCCTTCTCTCGCAGAGGCCGTGGATGGTGCATCCTTCGTGTTCGAGGCGGTCTTTGAGGACCTCAGCATCAAGCAGGGGGTGTTTCGGCAGATCGAGAGGGCACTGGTGGGCAAGGAGGCAGGGGAGGAGGCCCTCCTGTGCACCAACACGTCGTCGCTATCGATCACGGAGATTGCGGCAGGTGGGCTGTGGGTGGGTGGTTCGATGGACGGCGCATGTGTCCATCGATCGATTGTCCATCAGTATTGGATCGTCCTGGTCGGTTCGTGGCTGCGCACTTCATCGGCCCGCCGCACCTGGTGCCGCTTGTCGAGGTGGGCAGGTGTGTCGGCACAGGTGCACACACAGCCCGGGCTGACGATGTGAGGTGTGTTCTGTTCAGGTGTGCGGCGGCGCCAAGACGGACAGCAGTGCTGTCGAGAGGGTCAGAGAGTTCCTCCAAGGTACGTAACTAACGTGGACCAATGGGCTGGCTGCCGTACACGTGATGCATCACACTACGTCCGCTGCTATGGCTGGGCGTGGCGTACAATGTTCTTTGTAAGGTATGTGTGCAGCGTCAGGCAAGAGGCCCGTCGTGCTGCAGAAGGAGATCCAGGGTACCTTACGTGGACGGCGCGCTTCTGGCCATTTGCATGGTGTCTTTCCGTCTTGCCTTGCCTATGTGTGTGAGTCAGGTTTCATCGCCGCTCGGCTGCAGGCGGCCCTCACCCGGGAGTGCACCTACCTCCTACAGCAGGGTAGGGTAGTAAAGTAAACACCTCCCTCATCCCACCCACACGCAGACAGACGCGGGGACGTGCCTGTTTTGTTTGTGTGGTGCCTGCCAGGTGTGGCCTCAGCCGAGTGTCTGGACGCAGCCGTCTACAATGGCTTTGGCAGGAGGCTCAACACAATCGGTGTGGTGTGGTGTGGTGTAGTGTGCACTGCACTGATAGCTATTGTCATTTATGTATTGCATTTGCGCACTGATATACACACACGAAGATGGACGCGGCTCGGATGCAAATCTCACTCGTCACTTGCACTGCACTGCTTGGCTGGCAGGGCCCCTCCAGCAGGCCGATTTCGCGGGCGTCGACCTGCTCGTGTGAGCGGACACACACTGGCACTCCAGGCAGACAGACACCGAGATTGTCTTGGTGCGTCAATCGCCAGGAAGACCCACAGCGTCATGTGGCCGCAGCTGGGCGCGATGACGAGCGACAAGATGGCTGAAGACCTTGCAAACAAGGTGAGACGAGACGCCACGCGACACGATAGCTAGAAATCCATTTGTCCGTTAGTCTCATCCACACATTTGTCCATCGTTCGTGCCGTGGAGGGTCGGTGTGGCGTCAAGACCGGTGCGGGCTATTACGACTGGAACGAAAACACCATACAAGAGGTGAGTGAGTGGGTGGGTGGGTGGGTGTGTAACACCGCCCTGCCCACCACAACACGCCCCGCACATGCCATGCGTGTGTGTCAGGTGACATCTCGGCGAGACAAGGAGCTGCTTCGAAGGCTCAAGCAAGACTTCAGCCCGCCCGTGACTGACCAGACGTAATGGATGGATGGACGCGGGTACACGCGTGTGTGTCACCGAACGAATCAGAGGTTGGGCAGCCGCCATGATTGAATGACTGAACGAATGAATGCACTGACTGCCTGGTGACAGACATGACACCGATGTGTGTCACTCCACACAGTCCACACCCACATGCACCCCACCCTGCCCTTTCACCCTAAAACTTGCGATGGATGCGATACAATCAATGTCCTACACATCCAAAAATGTCTGTCTGCGTGCGCGTCCAGTCCACGCATTCCATCATGTGTCTGACTAATCAAACGCGGTATTACAAAATGACCCAGCCAGGCCACCTCAACAGAGACCATACAATCCCACGTAACACACAATCCCTTCGCACAGACAGAAGCCCTGTACCCCTGCTGACGGAGACGATTGCCAAGTCCCTCAGTCTGTGTCTCTTCGCGCCTCGTCATTGACGCGCCTTCCTTGCTGCGACTCATACATACCTGTTCTCTCTTCGCCCACTCCGGCCAAAAACGCCACGCCCTCAAACAGACAGACAGACAGACTCTGTGCACTACACCTACACCTTCGTGTGTCACCCACACACGCACTTATACTTGGAGGCACGAAGTCATCGTGTAGTGTCTGTCTACACAGAACAGTCGACAGCCAACCGCATGGCTCACTCATAGTGAGACCGCCGCTAGCCAAGCCGCCACACATAAGTTATAAGTGCAAAAACGGGCTTATAATTAACAATGTATATATACGTGAACCCATGAATGTGTGTGCGCGTGGAGACGCATGCACTGCACCATCATTATATCAGCTCAGCTGCAACAAAAAACGAGGAATAGACTCAGCCACATAATAGCCAGCCAGAAACACCGAACGAACAGCACACAGCGTGGTCGGGTCGCACAATAATACACTCATGCCAGCCCACATCACATGCCCATCCTCGCTCTCACTCATCTCATCTATCCATCGCTCAGACCACCGCCCTCGGGCTCTTCTTGCGGCTGCTGCTGCTGCTGCTGCTCCATGCTGCTGTTGTTCTTGCTGCCATGCTGATCGTAGTTGCACCCATGTTCTTCCTTCTGCGCGTCGGTAAGGATGCTGGCCGTGTTGGGCACCAGAAACAGAAAAAAGAGCGGCAGCAATGTGGAGGCGGCCTTGACTATGATCAGTGACGGCAGCAGAGGCCGGTAGTTGTCGGCAGTGATGCCCCAGGCGGCCTGCACGGCCGCACCTAAATGGCGGGAACACGAATTGGCCAGATTGTTCCACGACATCAGACCTATACACACACACACACACAGAGTTGTGTGTGCATGTGTGGGAGGGGGGGGGGGTGTCTGTCTCACAGACGTACAGGCGAACATGAGCGCCTCGACGCCGGGCGGGCAGAGCTGCGCGCACATGACATGGAACGGCGTGCTGTAGATGCGGTCGATAAACGTCGTAAAGCCGTCAGAGCCATACAAGAAGAGCCAATCCGGGATGCCCCACTTGACATTCAGCCGAGAAGCCTACAACACAACACACCACACCCACCCATGGATGACACACATGCACATACAACACACGCAAGTATGGCCAATGGTGCACTCCCTCACCTACCTGAATGTAGTCGGGCAGTATGAGCAGCGTCATGACGATGGTCGTGACGCCCCACAGCTTCCGGAAGGTCACCCGTGTAAAGAACCGCGCGTACACGACTGTCCCCGCCATGAAGAAGAGGTAGTTGACCGCGCCGGCGTACTGAATCTCGCCCTCAGAGAAACTGACGGCACCATCCATCAACAGGCGTGCATTGCTGCAGACATGAACGTGTTCATATCCCGACGGCGTACCCGATGGACCGACGCATCCACGAGTTGGGTGTGACCAGGGAGAAGGAGCAGAGGTGCTGCATGAAATACCTGCCGGACACAGTCACCACACAGGCTCCGTGGCTGTGTGTGTATGTGTGGCTCAGCTCAGTTCTGTGTGGGGTACCATACCAGAGCATCGGTCGGTAGCAGATGGGCTTGGCCACCGTCCGAAGCACCTGAGATATGTTGGAACAAATCTCCCTGACCACCTGCACCCACCCACACAAGCGCCGCCCATCACGCCATGGCACACGTGTGGCCTTGTGCAGGTGCATACACTTCGGTCGAGTCTCTTTTGTGTGGGGCGCTCTCTGTAGGCCAGCATGAGAATGAGAGCCAGCGATTGCGCGACGGCCAGAGCAGCCATGTAGGCGCGATGCAGACCAGCGTCGAACAACGTCCCTACACACACACACACACACACACATATCCACACACACATGGCGCCATGATGTCATGTCGGCAGGTGTGCCCACCCACCCACATGTGTACCAGAGATGAAGGCCGACATCATGGCGCCGAGTGCGATGCAAAACATGGCGATCGACTGCATCTCGCTCGACCCGCTGCCCTTGGCACGCGCCTCTCGCACCACCAACGCATCCGCCAACACATCCATGAAGTTCTCACCTATACACACACACATCCATCCATCCATCCATCCATCCATCCCTGTCTGCCTTTCTGCTGTCTGCCGTGTGCCGACAAACATACCAACATTCATCGTGACGAGCACATAGAACATGGTCGTCCATGTGGGCGTGACATCCGACAGGGCCACAGAGGCCAGACAGAGCACCACCAGCAGGGCACTCGCCATGTAATACGGCTTGATGTGGCGGCCACACACAGGGACGGAGTCGGCCAGCAGACCTGCCGTGCGACCGACACGACAACACACAACAAACAACACAACACAACACCTGCACCACGCGCAGCGCTGCCATTCATCTCTTTACCGTAAAATGCTTTGAAGACTGCAGGGACGAGCAAGGTGCCGATGGCGGCTTCGACAACTGCCGGGTTGGCCCCCTGACGCATCGCCGTCCAGAACATCACCTTCTCGGTCGATGTCAGCCGGAAACCTACACCCATCCACACCACACATCCACACCAACATACATAAATACAGACAGACAGACAGACAGACAGACGTGCGGACAAACGCCTGCCTGCCTGCCTGCCTGCCTGTGTGTGTGTGTGTGGCGCCAGGTGGCTTGACTGACTGACCTTGCAGTCCATAGGTCCAGACGATGAGCAAGAGAAAGACCGAAGAGTAGCTGGTTTTGGAGCCGAACACCACCCTCACCAGCCAGTTCAGAGGACCCCCCGCACAGCACTGACCCTCCTCTCCACGTGCGGACGTCGACGTCGACTGGGTCGCCTCATCGGATGCGATCTCATCTCGTGTTGCGATCTCTATGGCCCTCTCCTCTCCTCCCTGTGCACATCACATAATGGATGGACGAATCAAATCAATGCAGCTGGCCGTGATGAGCGGAAGGGACTGTTGACTCGCTCACCTGTGGCTCGTCCTCCCATGGCTGTTGGTGCCTGATCCGAGTCGGCGTTGGATGGCGGTGAGGGATCTGCATGCGACGCGGGTTCAGCGCTCAGAGATCGGGACGTTGAGAGCGCTGCCTTTCTAAGCTCGCAAGTGCGATCAGGCCCGCAATGAATGAGTTTGAAGCAGTAGCGGCGGTCATCTCCTTCCTCTGCTGCTGCATCTGCCGATGCGAAGCTTTCATTCCTTCACAGATGTTCTCGGGAGGGCTGCTCACACGCCGGGCGCCTTTCCATCGCAGTAGCGTCGCCCTGCACTCTGTCAACCCCTTTGCGAACATCCTCAACGCCATAAGTGAGCGCACACAGACAGCAAGCACAGGCAACGATCTCCTCAATCATGCCATTTATCATTGGCTGTGTCCGTGTGTGTGTGTGTGGTGTGGGTGTGCAGCTACAGGCATGACAGACCCATTGGACGAGTTTGATCCGAAGGGCTTCCTTCGGCAGTTTGCCTTTCCGAAGGCCCAGAAGAATGAGAACATACTCGAGGGCGTGGAGTGGCCGCCAGGTGGGGTGCGCACTGCACTAATGGCCAGCCACTTCCTCTGTGGGCATTGTCAATCTGTCCATCCATCCATCCATGTGTCGGTGCATGGCATGCATCAGAGTTCCCCTTCACCGATTCCTCCTTTCGCCGCTTCGACGAGTCGCATGACGGCCGATTCTACGACAGCCCGCGGCTCGTGCAACACATCGGTACGCTGGCACACACATCCACACAGCCATCAGGCACATCTCTGGGCGGCTGTGCCGGGCCGGCCCACCTGTTTGTGTGCAGACGATGGTGCGCGAGCTGCCTTGACGTGGTACTACACCAACGCCCTTCCAGGCGGCGAGAACACGGCCCACCTGGACCTGTGCAGCAGCTGGGTGAGCCACTTCCCAACCGACTACCGGCCCAAGAGGTACGTAAGGGGTGAAAAGAGGGAGGCGAGATGGCCTGTGCTATGATGCGAAGCTCACACCTGGGGTACGTGTCTGTGTGTGCGTGCGCGTGCGTGTGTAGGTGCGCTGGGTTGGGCATGAACGAGTACGAGCTGTCACAGAACGAGAAGCTCACGGTAAGCCATACGCGCACACGGACACACACACACACAGAGAGAGAGAGAGAAGTGCTCTTGTGTGTATGGTTTGATTGGTGCGGTCGCATCGGTGTGGGTGCAGGAGCGTGTGGTTCACGACATGAACAAGGACCCGCGGCTGCCGTTCGATGACAACTCGTTCGACGTCATCACCAATGTCGTCAGCGTCGACTACCTCAATAAGCCAAGAGAAGTATTTCGGGAAATGTACAGGTAGCTACGTGGGTCCGCCAACCGCCGCACACAAATCACATCGCCCTCACCGGTGACCCACACACATGCGTGTGTGTGTGTTTGAGTTTTCACAGGGTGCTGAAGCCAGGCGGTTTGGCCATCATGTCCTTCTCAAACCGATGCTTCCCTACCAAAGCAATCGCGGTCAGCCAGCCGGCATCAACGCAAACCATGTGTGCACGTCTGTGTGTCTGCCTGCCTTCTTGCCTACCTGCCTGTAGGTGTGGCTGCAAAGCAGCGACTTGCAGCACTGTGGAATAGTGGGCAGCTACTTTCGCTATGCCAACTTCACAAACATACAGGTGCGCATGGCATGCGTGTGTGTGGTGTGAGTGGTGTTTCTAGCATCGTTTGAGCGTCCCTGCCTGCGTCTGTGCACCATGTGTGCAGGCGTATGACGTGTCGCGGCCGATGAGTGACCCGATGTATGTTGTGAGAGGCAACAAACCTGACACGTGACGTCACATGTGCGAAGCCATGGACGTGTACGTGATGCGATGCGATGCAATGCTCGACGCCTGATGTGGGCATGATGTGACCGACCTGGTTGCTAGGACGTGGATGGACCCTGTGTGTAGCTTTGCGTCTTGACGGAATCGAGGACATGCACACAGTCAATGCAAGCAGGTCCCACGGACGACATGCAGCATACATCAGTCCACGAACGAACACATGGATGCAGTCATTGCATTCATTCGTTTCAGCCATCCAGCCCTCCAGCCAGCCAGTCAGCGTCTATCTACACACCCTTCCCTTAAACACCACACAAATGTGCATATATACGTAATTGGTATACATGATAGATATCGTGGTAGAGAAACGGCTGTACAGTCAGTCAGTCAGTCAGTCACACAGGCGGGCTCAGAGCAAGAGAAAACACCCGCCCCGCCCGCTCTGTGTGTGTAGGAATGAGTAGGAGAGACGAACCTGCCCCTCTTCTCTCTGCCTGTTTGTGTGTGAGCAAGCAAGTCGGGAGAAAGAGAGACCCCATAGACGACCGACCCAGCACGAAACTGCCCCCGGCCCGTGTTCTGCGGGCGGGCAGGAAGCACATATATACCATAGAGCCCTCGCCCCCTCAGTACCCGCCCGCCCATCCCTCTACTTAGCGACGCCATCAGTGCGTCAGATGGCAATGCCGAGCACCGTCACGATGGCGTGCATCGACTTGTTCTCCCTGGGTGCACCAATCACACACACACATCACGGCATTCTCTTCTCTTTTATGGCCACTTTGTGAGGGCGGCGTACCATCTGAATGTGACGCTTCCGTCGTGGTTGTAGTCCCAGTAGCATGTGGTGGACAGATGGAAGCCCGCATTGCTCCGCTGCAAAATGGTCGCCGTCACCACGTACTTGAACCCGTCGCTCAGATCCTGGCACGTGTGACACACACACAAAGATGAGATGCAGGGCATCCATCGTTGGTCAATCAGCCATAGGTACCTGCATCTTGTCAAGGATGGCCTGCGAGACGGTGTCCACCCAGTTCTGCACCTCCTTCGGCGAGTAGCTCACATTGCCCAGAACGCTGTCCAGCGTCTGCTTGACTATGCGATTCGTGGGCTCCTTCAACGAAGAGAAACTCGCCGTCATATGCGTGACTTCGACAATCCACAATGCCCCTTGGTTGAAGCGGTGCAGGGTTCCATTATCAGGGTTTCGAACCCTGCAGCCCCGCGGGGTTTGGTCGCCAGGCTTCAAGTCTCTCGGCGCATCAGAAAAGCATCGAGGATGAGCGGCGGTAAGACCCCAGCTTCCTCCCTGGCTGCGAAGCTCCGTAAGGACACGGCAGCGCCAAAACACGGCTCCCCCAAGAGGGAGGGCGGCTCATCGGCTGGGCCGAATATGCCGAGAAATGAGGTCGGCAGACACAGCAGACAGATCGTCCCATCAGCAGATCTCGCCTGCCGTCTCTATCTCTCTGCCTGTCTGCCTGTCTGCCTCTGGCTGTGTGTGCAGAAGGGGGGGGTATTGATAACCAAGGAGGAGCTGAAGGTGGCGTGGGATTTTTTCGACACCAAGGGGCAGGGCAAGCTGACGGCGGCCGAGCTGAGGAGACGCTTGGCCGTCTTCTACAAGAACATCTCACTCAAGGAAGTCAAGTAGGTGTGTGACCTCACTGCGTGGCACCTGACCCCTCTCTCTGTGTGCCTCTGTGTGCGCAGGTTTTTGATGAACAACCAGTCGGAGATCGGCTTCGACGAGCTGTATGATCTGCTCAAGGACAACCAGCTCACCAACTTCGACCCTGTCCGTGAAGCATTCAAGGTCAGTCGAGTCACAGCAGTCAGCCACACACGTGAAAGGCAGCACACGTGTGCGTGTCTCGTTCCTTCCGTCCATCAGGTGTATGACCCGCAGGAGACGGGCTTCGTGGACCTCGCCGTGGTCAAGCAGTGCTTCCAGCAGCTGGGCTACGGGGACCTGTCAGCAGAGGACATGAGAATACTAAGTAAGCGGAAAGACAGACACCAAACCACCAATTGACGCAACACGCATGGATGGAAGTGCCACGGGGTACTTTCCCTGCATCGTTGGCTCAGTCCAGACGGCGGATGCTGACGGGGATGGGAAGATCGGCTTGGACGATTTCCGCCTCATGGTTTCGTTCGGACAACAGACAGACATGGCATGACCTGGGAGGACGACGGGAGCAATGTCAAGCTCAGTGCAGTTCATGTGGTGGGTGAGAAAGTGAGAAAGGGAGACACCTTGAGGGGCAGATTGAGAGAAGGACTGCGCGTTTCATTGTCGATTCAGGCGACCAAAAGACGGACGATCGCGTCATGATTGGTGTGGTGTCAGTGTGGTTCCATTCATGTGTATGTGATGTGTACCTGCTGTGGTGTGTTGGCAGAGACTTCCTCCTTCCTTTGTGCATGTGTGTATGTATGGATGGATCTACCATTTATCTCATGAATGCATTGCTGGATACTCTCCATCCATCCATCCATCCATGTGTGTATTGTATGTACGAAGGTCACGCACTCGCACACTCATGTCGGAACTTGACGACAAATGTCACTCACCCAACCAACAGTCATCCTCCTGCTAGTCCATGCGTCCCCCCGTCCCCCTCGATAGACGCGCAGCCGAATAAGCTCCCCATCCACCGACCCACCCAACCAAACCCGTGCATTGCACCCAATCATCCATCCATCCATCTATCGACAAAGCTATTCCCTCCCTCCCTCCCTCCCTCGCTGCCTGTCTGTCTGCTCAGACTGCCCCTCACCTCACTCATTTGCCCTTGGGTTTGGGCTGCTTGACTACCCACTTGTCCAGCGACGCCTGCTTCCCGCGGCCACCCCTACGCCAACCCCTGCCCCCACCGCCAGCCTGCCGGCTACTGCCCACACCAGGGCCATGTGTGAGCTTCGCCCCACATTCTGCCCCGAATCCCCCCGATGCTGCTGCTGCTGCCGGTGCAGCAGCTTGCCCGTCCTGCTGCTGTGATGGTGACTCGTCGGACGGTAGCTGGAATGCCGCAGCAGATCCGGGGCCAAAGGATGGCGTGAATCCTGGCAGTGCTGCAGCTGCGGGTGACACGGACATTTCGGAATCGGTGATGGGCGAGGAGTCGGGGTGGTGTGCTGGCGGGGGCTGGGAGGGGGTCTCGTCGGTGTTCTGCATCGGGTGGTCGTTCGGCTGCTGCTGCTGCTGCTGCTGCTTTTCACGCGGCTCGGTGGTGGTGCTGTCCCCCGACTCCTCCTTTTCGACCTGCAGTGGCACCACAATCACACACACAAGGAGAGGCAGATGAGTCCATGGCCCAGTGGGCGCCCGCCCGCCTGCCCCATGACCGGCCTACCGGTTTCTTTGGCTTGGCCCTGCAGGCCCCCTGGTAGGCCACGTCGGTCAGGCTCATGTTCTCGAGCTTAAGGTACACCTCGGGCGGCACCTCGTCCGCACGCCCCGCACCCGCCGGCTCCTCCTGTCCGTCGTTCTGCGACGTCGGCTGGCTGAAGTCCATAAAATGCTTCTCCATGTCACCAAACGCCACACCATGGGCGAGGACGCTGCGGCGCTTCTTGGAACGCCGAGCTGCCGGGGAGCCGTCGGGCGAGCGGACGGCAGCGTGCGGGCTCGGCGACTTGGGAATGCCGGGTGACACGGGTGCGGGTGCGGGTGGCGGGGAGAGGAAGGGGTGGTTGAGGACGCCATCGATCTTGAGGCGCTGACAGGAAGGAGAGGAGGGAGAGCGAAAGGAGGCATTTCTCGTGTGGGAGGGGTCTGTGTGTGTGTATGTGTATGTGTATGTGTGTGGTTTCTATGCCCACCCTCTCATGGTTGGTCTGCAGCAGGGAGGTCACGAGATTCTTGGCTGGCACGACAACAACAAGGAAATGTGCATCCGTCTGGCACGTGTGTGTGTGTGTGTGTGTGTGTGTGCCCGCCCTACCCTGGGCCGATATGTGCTGCCATTGTGCGTGTGCCAGTGAGTAGGCGCCCGCGCAGATCTGCTGCTTGAGCATGTCGTCATCGAACGGAGACGTGGCACTCAACCTGCACACACATCACACACAGACGTACACGAGACCCATTGAGGCAGACCTTCACACACGAGTCCGTCAGACAGGCATGCAGACAGACATACATGACGTATAGGATGACCCCGAGGCTCCAGAGGTCCACTTCCTTGCCATACCCCGCCGCACGGCCATCCTGCGTCCCAAACACCTCGGGCGCTGACAACACGACAACACACACATGCATCCATCAAATGTCGCTGCGCCTGCTGCCCGTCGACCGCCACACATACGTACCGGTGTATTGGGGCGTGCCGCAGAATGTGCGCATCACAGACTTCTCGCGTGAGTATCTGAATGAACACAGCAGCGGGCGAAACAGGTCTCCGTGTGTGTGTTGTCCGTGGTGCGGTTGTCGGGTCTCTTGGTGGCCCACTGACTTTGCGAGCCCGAAGTCGGTGAGTTTGCATCTGCCGTCGAGGCTCTTCTCCGTCATGAGTATGTTCTCAGGCTGTGTGCAGAGAGAGAGAAGCGAGATGAATGAATGGATGTGTGTGTGCGTGTTTGTGCTGGTGGGTGCCACAGTTGCCTTGAGGTCCTGACAGAGGAAGAGAGATCAATGGGAGACACAGACGTCATGAGACATGTGTGTCTATATCGTGGGTGTCATTGCGCGTGTCTGTCTGTCTGTCTGTCTGGCAGGCTCACTCACTCACCCGGTGGACGATGTTGTTGCGATGGAGGTAGGCCAGGCCCTCACAGATCTCCCGAAACATCCGCTGAGTGGTCTCCTCCTTCACATGAGACACAACACATTCAGACATCCATCCATCCATCCATGTGCGTGTCCGTGAGCTGGTGTGACATATGTACCGGTATCGGGCCGTGGTCCAGTATGAAATCCAGAAGATCGCCACCAGGAGCTCTAGCAAAGGAGAGAGGACGGCACACAGGCATGGGTGGCTTCATTGTGGGTGGATGGCATTCATTGTCTGAGAGTGGGCGTGGCGTACAGTTCGAAGACGAGGTAGAGGTAACGGTCGTCGGTGTAGTGTTTGTGCAGCTGGATGATGTTCTCGTGGTGCAGGTTCTCCAATACCTGCAGCCATCACACCCATCCATCCATCCATCCATGGATGGATTTCGTATGTGTCAGTGTCATCGCGCGCGCGCGTGTGTGTGTGCGTGTGTGCGTGTGGAGGGTTGCCCACTTGGAGCTCCGTGAACTGGTCGAGGTTGCTCTTCTGCTTGTTCTTGAACTGCACAAACTTGCACATGTCGATCTGCTTGATCGCAACACTGATAGATCCACACAATACACAACAAACGGCACACACCACACCCATCAGTTACCCTCCTTCCCCCTTCTGTGTCGATTTCATTTGGTGTTACGGCGTGTCGGTGGCCCGCTCGATGGCAAATTTGACAGTGCTGAAGTGACCGCTGGATGACAGCACATAAGACATGTGTTTCCTCCTTCCATTATCGTCTTGACCGCATCCGCCGCCTACCTGCCCAGCTCTTCGCCGATGGCGTAGTCCTCGTGAATCGATCCCTGCCAACACGCAAAACACACACACACACACACACACACATGGACAACCAACTCTCATTCGTTGGACTGACTGAGAGACATCAAGCGTACTTACTGGTTTTGGCTCCTCTGCCGGCGTGACCTCCATGAAGCAAAACACAGGGGCCCCTGCAGACACACAACACCACACCACACAACAACACACGCATGCAGCTGCCTGGCTGGCTGATGTGTCTGTCACTTAGAGTGAGTGTGACCATGCACACTTACACTTGATCTGCTGGTCGGGGTGGTTCTGAACGCTCATGGCCTTGACCGAGTTGACGATTAGGGATATCTCCGCACCGTTGGTGAGGATCTCGCTCCCGTCGCCCCCACGGCCCTCGCCACCCGATCCTGCCGGCATCAGCCGCCGACCGTCTAGAACTGCACACGCAACACAACGCACACACAAAGATGCGGGAACGCCACGCCCCATCCATGTGGTTGTGCGTGGTTGCCCGACTGACTGCCTCACGCGTACACGTGCCGTTTCTGCTGGAGTCCTTGATGCGCCACACGTACTTGCCCTTGCTCAGCTTGGAACGGCTGATTGTGCAGTGCTTGCCTGTGTGAACATCACATAAGTATCGTGTATATGGATTGGATGAGGGTGTGGTGTAGGTACTGTATCCATGTGTGCTCTATCAGCCCATGCCTGATATCTTGTCGTGCGCAATCTGGCAGTCGGCGTAGGGCGACCTGCCGATGACGACCTTCTCAGGGTCCTTCTGCCGGAGGTAGATGGTAGGAAACAGCGGATTCAGCGATATCTGCACACGCATAAAGGCCAACATGGCATGCACGTGAACAGGAGATCCATCCAATGAGAACCTTTCTCGTCGGCAGCGTACATACCAGTTTGGCGATGATGGGGTCGTCTATGAACTGCATCCCCTGATCCTGCGTGTCATTCGGCTGTGTCTGGGTCGCCACACACCCACCAACACCGATATCTCCTCCTCCTCCAGCAGCAGCAGCAGCCGGGACATCCTGCTCTGCGCCCGCGGCACTCCCGCCGTCTATTGCAGCTGCATCGGGCATCACCTGGTCGTCCGCCGAAGGTCCGCATGGCAACCGCGATGGGTAGAGCTCCGATTTGATGCCATCAACCGTACGCTTCGACATCGGCAACCGTATTAACTATGGATGTAACGCGACCAGGGGATGATTGCTTTCGCAACTGCTTCCAGCCTGCCTGGCGGCGGTCTTGCTCGAAGCTGGACAACCAACTAGAATAAAAATTGCGGGTGGAAAGAGAACCCCTTGCCGTGTGTAAATGCCAGCGTGAAGCGATCCTCTTCTGCAGTGCTGCAGTGCAGTTCTGCACGGCCGGCCCAGCTTGGGAAGAGGATACGCACCGGCCCCACTGTTGGCACATTCATCCCACACATGAATATCCCATCCATAACATTGAGTTATAACCAATGGCCACTGAAGATCTTGACAGTGCTTGTTCATCGTTAGTCATCCATTCACCGTTCAGGCAGAAACATGTGCCACACGCGTCCACTCATGCGTGGACCTTTCCTCTCAATCAGTCTGTACAGTAGGTACATGTGCTCACGCCCCTAGCTATGTCGTCGTCTCATTCATCTCCATGCACGACGGAAATATCGGCGCTGCTGCTATCGTGTCCAGCAGCGATGCGTCCCCAGACGCCTCCAGCAGGGCCGCAAATGTCTGTGGGAACACCCCAGCAGGACCCTCACCGCCCACCTGCGGCCGCTCGGTGGTGTAGAGGGTGAGAGATGCGCCTGGGAAGTACTTGCCCTTATCCAAACAGATGAAGGCCGCAAACGTGCTGTCCGCCTTGTCGCCAGAGAGGATGATCCTCCTGGTGGCCTTGTAACCACCGTCAAGGATGTGGTCGACTGTGCGGCAGCCCCACACGGGCAGGGGCTGGTCGAGCAGCGCAGAGATGCGGCCGTAGGTGTGCGATCCGGGATGTTCTGGGCGTGCGAAGCAGTGCTTTTCGTCTAAGGGGTAGGTTATCATCCTGAATTCCAATAAGACAAAGGAAGAACAAAACAGATCATCGTAGCTTTCCTTTCTTTCTTCATTGTGATCCCACGATGGCATGGCTTTCTCCTTACTTATCGATGCACAGTTCACGGAAAAAGCGGTACAGGGCGTTCAAACCTGTAGGCGGACCCATGACTGAAAGTGACACGCACTATCTCCCTCCCTCCCTCCCTCCCTCCCCAATCTCCAATCCCCGATCTCTCTCTTACGTTCGCACGCGGGGTCAGTCGCATCAAAGGTGGCCGCAAAAGGGCAGGCGGGCGGCAGGGTGTCGGCCGTGTGCAGTGTCAGGTCAGTCTGCAGTCTGTCGCCATTGGCTCCCGGGGTAAGCTCCATGCCCATTCCCAGGTCCTGGCAATACACCGAGTACTGCTGCAGCGCCTCTGGGCGGCTGAGGTACCGCCGCTTGCTGGCCAGCCGCCGCAGGTCGGTTGCTGTGATGGTGACGGGCAGGGATGTCACATGACCAGTGCGCCTGGCCACACGCAAGATGACCGCATTGCCCGCCCAATCCCCGCCATTCTCGACCAGCCACAGGACGCGGATCAGATAGTGCCGTCTGGTCATCCGCCGCGCACCGGGCCCACCGTCCTGCTGCTCCAGCCCCCCCTGCTGATGCTGCGCGTGCTGCTCATACGTCAGGACGCCGTCGACGTGATGTTCCCGCAGCAGCTGGTCGAGACGCCGGGCGACGGTGTGGGTGATCTCGGTGGTGAATGGGAGGGTTTTGGCGGCAGCGAAGAGGGCAGCGCATCCGCGTACGCCAAGGAGGTCTCTAACCCGGTGGCACATCACCGGCAGGTCCTCCTCTATTGAATGCAGCACGGAGAGGGGCCGGGTGGGAGGGGGGGAAGAGGGAGAGGACTCAGAGGCTGCTGTCCTGGCCCTCTTCATTTGCTCTTCACTTCATCGGGGGAAGCGGCAGGCCTCACATGGCCACTCTCAAGTCCGCACGCTCTTTTCACCTGAGCCAAGATCTCCTTCTCTCCTGCAAGCAGAGAGAACCCTTGCGAGCTCCAACTTGAAGCCCCCACTTTCACCCCCGTCTCGGTGAAGTTTGGAGGATCTGAACGTGATGCAGAGGGCATTTGGACGGCCGTCACGATGTGCGAAGGGCACGGAAAACGATGTCGCCTCACTTATGAGCTGGTAACAGTCGGCTCCCTCACCCCCTTTCGAAGACGAAACCACCATCATGATGCCATTGTGTGTGCTGGCTGCTCGTGCGTACGTGCAGGCCTGGTCAGTTGGCGGTTAAGTCGCAGAAATGGTGTTCGGAGACGAGAGAAGAGTTCAGAGGTTACATTTGGAGGCCTTTCCCGAAGCAAGAACTTCAAGGCGACCTGGAGGCAGCGCGGCGGCCACAGCAGAGGGGGCCAGAGCCCTCGGGGTCGCCTTCTTCATTGCAGAGGCCAGAAGGTGCGAAAACAGTGTGTGTAAGAAATGGGAAACGCGTGAACAGCAAGTGCTCTGCTGCATGTCCACGCAGGCCGCACGACTGAGGCGGTGATTGCCGGTGCTCTTGAAGGTCCCCACGAGGTGCAGGACGAGCCGTGTGACCTCCGCACCCTCGACCCCACGGCCGCAAAGACCGTCACCGCCTCGCCGACTCGACCAGAGAAGACCCTACCGACAACTGCAGCCAAACAGCCCCGCAGCTTCTTCCGGCACACGGCTGCCCGCCATCGCTTACGGGTGGAGGAAGAAGCCAAGAGACGCTATGTGCCCCCGCCGGGACCAAGGCCGGTGGTGCTGAGTGGTTACCATATGAACCGCCTTTACACCCCACCGAGCGCACACACACAGTCAAGGGCGAAGGCGGCGAGAGAGCCGGAGGTGCCCGAGAAGCTCCCGGCCTTCCGGTTCGGCAAGCCAAAGCAGACTAACATGCTTTACAGCTCGTTCGGCCCGCCGAAGCCTCCTCCTTCGTGCTGTCGGCACAAGACGGGCAGAGTGAGCAGGGGGGCCGCGCGAGGGAGGGGACGGGCCGGGGAGGGCCAGGTGAAGGGGAGAGCGGGGGGAGAGGAGTTGGGGTGGGTGAGGCCTGCTGAGACGGGCAGGGGTGTGGTCAGCGCCAATGGGCGGTCGGTGCAAAGGGCGGCCAACACTCCGGTAGGCACCACAGACCGATTGATTGTCTTGTCGATTTGTTTGTTTCGTTCAGGAGGAGGTTCGCCGGAACAAGGGCACTCAGACGCTGTCTCCACCAGGCCCCAGCACAGCGGCTGCGCCGTCGCCCCTCCCTCCTCCCATGGCCGCCGTCAAGGAGCCACAGGTACACAGGCCACTCCATTGCTCGTCTTTCTTCATGCCCTCACACCCTCTCTCCCTGTGTGTGTGTGTGTGTGTGTGTCAGAGGGTGGATGAGCGTGTGTCTGTTGGTGGCGATGGGGTGAAGGAAGGGATGCCCCCCGAAGGGGCCAGGACGACACAGAACCCACAGAGGCCCAGAGAAAGGCAAGCCAGCGTGACGGCATACCGTCTGACAGACAGGCAACGCACTCTATTATCGGTTGATTTGTGTGTGATTTGGATGCGTTCGTGTGTGGTGTGGCATGGCTGCAGTGGTGCCGGTGAGTGGGCTGACGCTGCTTACAGCGACTTCCTCCCGTACTGGCGGTCCAACCCTTATGCCACGCTGTATAACCCCCAGATCTACGAGTATATTTGGGTGGTGACACACGTGTGAGCGTGTGGGTGGATGGATCGATGTGTGTGTCTCTGCCTGGCTGGCTGGGTGTGGCTGGGTGGGTGGCTGCGGTTGTCTGTCTGCAGGGAGCTGCCAGCTCGTACGCTGCGTGACCTGCCCCCTGCAGGCCTTCCGCGGCCCAATACTGTGCCTCTCAAGATCACATGAGATGAGCGCTGGTGTGTGCGTGTGTGGGTGTGTATGGTTTGTCTGATGCCTGTGTGCATCTCTGTTAACCACCCAACTGTGTGCTGTTGCGATTTGCGGGGTTTAATTGTAGACACACAGAGAGAGAGGTCAGACAGACAGACAGACAGACAGACGGACATAAACCACTCACACACACACACAAACGGGTCCATTCGTGGGTTCGTTCCTTCGCCTGCACTGTCTCTCTCTCTTGCAATTGACCCACACACACTCACACACACACCAGCGAACGAACAAACCGACGCAGTCAGGACACACACACGGAGGGGCAAAGAGAGAGAGAGGGGGGATTTCATCCCGCAATGCAATCATCTGATCAATCAGGCGATCAGTAGGAGAGGCCGACGACACCGCATCACATCACACGCACCATGCACTGCACCATCCGTCCATCCCATCTCCCATCCACCGTGCAGACGTACTGATTTCTGAACACTACACTCACCTGCTGCCCACCGCCCCTGCCTGCCTCGCTGCCTGCCTGCCTCGCTGTCTGCCTTGCTGGGCTATCTATGCTATCTATCATCGCCGTGTACACACACGATCATCGACAAGACATCCTCTTGGATGTCTGGATGGCATCCATCCATCCATCCATCAGTTCATGGCTATGACTATCCACTTACCCACACCCTCCCTCTTACCACCTGTCTGTCCACCTGCCTGTCGGGCGTCCCCCGAAAGCGCAATCCCTACCGCACACACGTCATTAATTCACATAGACGCACTCACACACACACACACACACAGAGGGTGGGTATACGGGAGGCCATCGCCGGCCGTCACGGAGAGGGAGAGAGTGAGAAGGGGAGAGGAGGCAAAAGGGACCGACCGATCAGGCAGGAGAGGCAGAGAGGGAGGGAGTGACCTCAGCTACGAGGCTAGGCTAGGCTAGGCAAAGCAAGCAAGGCAGCCATCGACCAAAAGACAGCCATCACACACACACACACACACACCCCACACGAGAGAGAGGATGGCATGGCGATGGTATGGCATCATGCTGTTTGGTGGTGTGGTAAGGTGCGGTGTGGTGCCATCCCATCACCAACACGCCGACAGACAAACAAGAAGGCATAGCACCATACGATGACACGCTGCAAGGCAAGGCAAGGCAAATCAAAAACGACAAGGACACCAACGAACCCATCGACAGCCAGTCGACGTTGGGCCACAAGACAAGGCAAGCGGATCGGATCGACAGACACACCAGGCAGGCAGGCAGGCAAACAGCCAGGAGGCCATTCAGGCAGGTATCTATCTCGCTGCCGTTCATGTCACTGTAACACCGAATGGAAAGTTCTGGTCGTCTCTACACACAAACGTACATCAATCACGATATATCGCGGTGAGGCAGGCAGGCAGGCAGGCAGACAGCAGGTCGCGAGTGAAAGAGTGAATTGAATTACACAATAGAAAACGATCCATCCATCATGGCGCCCAGTGAGCGCGTGTGTTGTGCCTCCCCCCCGCCCTCCCTCCCTCCCTCCCTCCCTCCCGTCCTTGCTAATGGCAGCTAATGCGGTGCCCTCTTCTTTTCTGTCCGCGTTTCTCTCTCTGGTCCGGCTGCGTAGCGTGCCTCCTTCCACCGATTTCAGCTATCCCTCCTTGCTGTCTGGCCAGCTGTGCCCAAGGGGATTCGAATCGCCCCGACACAGCTAGGTAGGCATCAAGAAGCCATAGATAGAATCGATGGAAGCCAAGCGGCAGCAGTTAGTTGAGCCGAGTCGCCATGGCATCAGCCAGTCAGTTCATCATACCAGCCAGCATTACACAGTCAGCAGCATGGGCGAGGCGAGTGAGCGAGAGGTCTTCTTTGGATACAAAAGAGTCAATCATCCACAGAGACAGAGACAGAGAGAGAGAGAGACCTTCCCCTGCCCCTGCCCCACCCCACGACAGCCCACGACATCTGCCTGTGCACCAACCTTTACACACGCATCACGTCACGTCACGCTGCAAGCATTCATTCCATTGCACTGTACTCCATGGACACTCCCCACAGCACAACACCCCTCACCCCCGAAGACGCGTCAGAAAGTGCCTCACACATGGATGAGTGTAGTATGCCTGGTCAGGATCGATCGGTGGGTCGGTCATCGGCTGGCTGTTCCTCTACTCACTCACTCAGTTACTTATCATGATCATCTAGCTCATCTGGTGTCTACACAATGCTGCACTGTCTGTCTGTCTGCCTGTCTGTCGGTCGGTCGGCGGTGTTACGCTTCCTCTCTCCAGCCACCAAGTAAGTCATGACGCTGTTAATTGCTCTGACGTCATTTCCGTAGGTATCATTAGACCAGCGAACGAACGAACGAACCTTCCTCCCTCGCTCTCTCCCACTCACTCAGAGATGGACAAAAAGAAAGCCAGTCTGTCTGTGAGGGTGGGTGTGCACCTGGCTTGCTGTGTGCGTGTGTCTGTGTGTGTGTGTGGAGTGGCAAGCTACGATAAACTACAAGGGAAGGAGAGGCCGGGCAAGGGAGAGGGAGGGAGGGAAGGAGGGAGGGAGGGGGAGGCAGAGTGTGGGCAGGCATCTACCTTGTGCACTCTCTCACACACACACGTCTTGTCTTTCTCAGATTCTCTCTCGTGCGATCGCATCCAACGACAAGAGATAGCTAGACGATGGGCGGCCAGGCAGACACATATTCAGGCAGGCAGGCAGGTGGGCACGCCCCCACCGTGGGTACGGCAGATGCTCTAACTAACTGACTCCCTCCCCTCCACGCATCAATCACATCATTCCTTTCTCCGCTACTTTTAACCTTAAAAGACAGCCGCCCCACGCCACGCCCGTCAAGTCATGCCGTTGAGCTGCCCGTGTGCATGAGCAGCATAGCCATAATAACCGTGGTGCACCGGGGGATGGTGCACCCCCACCCCCACCCCCACACCCACGCCGCCCGTCTGCGCGCCAGCGGCCAAGACAGAACCGCCGTAGCCCCCAGCACCGTGACCATACGCACCAGCAGCAGCACCGTACATGCCCATGCCCATGTGCTGTCCGGGTGGCGGGTGCACACCGTGGCCACCGTGAAGGTGGGCATACTCGTATGGGGCTGTGTGGGAGTGATGGGCCGCAGGGGGCAGGCTCACGCTTACACCCACGCTCGGCGGCCACTGGTGACCACCGTGATGTGGTGGCAAGAAGGGCTCGTTGACGGCCTGTGCGTGCGGGAGTGCGTGTGGGTGTGGGCGTTGTTGATGTTGCTGATGATGCTGCTGTTGCTGATGCGGATGGGGGACCATGGGCGGGGTGTGCTGCGGGTGGTGGTGCCCGTGCTGGACCATTCCCTCCCCTCCTCCCACTGCTGCTGCCCTGTGTGGGTGGGCATGTGTGTGAGGGGCTATGGGGGCCGACGATGGGAGGGGTGAGTGGAAGGGGTTGAGGTGGGGCGGCAGGTTCTTGCTCGCACGGTCCAGTGCCGCCACGATGTGCTTGCCTGTCAGTAGGCAGACAGGACAGGACAGGCACCATCAGCTTCCCCACCATGCCATGGCATGGCGGCGGAGTATGTGTGTGTTTGCTCGTCTAGTCTACCGTAAGTGAATTTCTTGAGTGTCGTCAGCTGCTCCCGAAGGCGCGCGAAGAGGACCTCACGGTTGCGACCTGACCCACAGCACAGCGCACACACACACACGGGCGTGTGTGAAGTGGATGGATGAACAAGCCTCACGCACCGGAAGCGATTTCGATCATCCTCTGCACGACGTAGTTTGCGTATCGGTCCCTCATCATGGCGTACAGCGGCGCGCCGGTCGCATGGGCAACGTAATGATGACTGCATAGCCACGCGCACACACACGCGTGTGCATCAGATTCCTTGTGTGTGCCTGTGTGTGTCTTTGTTTGTTTACCCATCTGTGCCTGCTGCAGGTTCGCCGAGTGCTGCAGAGATGAGGTGCTGCTTCTGGTACTCCTCGGCGAAGTGCAACGCCTTCTCGACCACATTGCTGAAGCGAAGCGCACCATAGACACACAGAGGCACAGAGAGACACACACAGAGAGACGATGGAATGATGCGTGCCGTGTGTGTGTGGAGAGATAGGCTTCCAGTGTACCTGGCGAACTTGTGAGTGCTGAGGTTGAGCATGTTGGCGCGCAGCTCGTCGATGATCGCCCTGCAGATGACACGCCACACACGAACAGAGGTGCAGTGCAGGGCAGTGCAGTGCCTGAGGAGCGAGGGAGGGGGGGAGGGGTGGAGGGCTGACCCTTTTCGCTCTGGCTTGCCGTGCTGCATGATGTGCTGTATGACGTAGTTGCCATACTGGTCGGCACACAGCTGCACGATCACCTCCTTGCGCAACACCTCATCCAGCAACGGCTCCTGTGTGACACAAAGGACGCCAGCCAAACATCACAATCACACCACACACAGGGGAAGGGAACGGATTGCCGTGCCCTGTCCCTGGTCCGTTCGGTGTGTCCGTCCCTACTATCTGGGAAGGTCCGCAGTACTCGAGCAGCCTCTGAATCACTCGGCACCCATAGCAGTGGACCGACATCCGCTGCACCTGCACCGACACAGGAAGTATAGAGAGAAATGGGTGGAGAGGGAGAGGGAGAGGGGGAGGGGGAGGGGGAGGGGGAGGGGGGGCCAGGTTACCTGTCCCTTGAAGGCATCTACGATGAACTGTATCCTCTCTGGCGGCATGCGCTCGATGCACTTCTGGATGACATGGTTGCCGTTCTGGTCCTCGATGCACTTGATGACGTGGTGCTTCAGCTCGCCAACCAGCAGCACCTGCTGCTCTACCGTGACGGACTGACAACAAGGGAGACACACAGAGGGAGGGAGGGAGGGAGGGTGGTAAGTGTGTGTGTGTGTGAGTGTGTCTGTGGTGTGTGGGTGTACCTCTAGGGCCTTTTGGATAACTCTGCAGCCATACATCTGCAGTGAGAGGCGGAACACGTCTCCCACCAGCTGCTCTGCCAGAATCCTCTTCTGCTCCTCCGTCCCTTCACACACCCAACACCCACACGCAAGTCAGTGATTGACCCTTACACCGGACCGGCTGCGTAGGTCAGGTCCCTACCAACTTCAAAGAACTTTTGGATGACGTAGTTGCCAAACGCGTCGGTGGTCAGCCGCGTGGCCTCCGACAGGAGGCCCATAAACACCATCTGCTTCTCGTCCTCACTGCAGGTCTGCACACGCACACCCACAGCCATCCCATCCACCCGACCCTCCTCCCCTCTCTCCCTCTCCCCTTCCCCCGCCACCCACCTCAAGCCTTTGTTGGATGAATCTGCTGCCGTACTGGTCCTGAGCGAATTCGACAAGGTGCTGCTGAATGTCTTCAAGCTCGAACCGCCGCGCGCCGGCCCTAAATTCCTCCAGCAGCGGCGAGGCGCCCTCTGGCAGGGGCGTGGGCGTCTCCTGCTCGGGGTACCGCACAAAGGGGTTGGTCGGAGGGGTGCCGCTGCACCGCACCATCGACCACACACAGAGAGAGACAGGCGAGGGATCATGTCTTGTCTTGCGCGATGTGATGGGGCTGTGTGTGTGAGTGTGGGGGCCGACCGTTTCTTCTTGGCTGATCCGATGCTCATGGTGGTACTGCTGCCGTCCATCGGGGGAGGGGTGGTGGCGTGCGTGGGGGGCCGGCCGTACTGGTGCTGGTGCTGGTTGTGGTGGGGATGGTGGGCGTAGTAGGGAGGGGTGGGCGGCCGAGGCGGCCACCCTGACGAAGATGCCGCCGCGTGTGTGCCGTCTGCCACACACCACACACACAGAGAGAGAACGCACAGTCTTTGTTCGTTCCTGTGTCTAGCGGCTTGCTCGCTCACTGTAAAAGGTTTGTGTCTGGTTGTGAGGTGGAGGGGGGGGCTGTGGCTGTGGCTGTGACGGCGTGAGAGGCCTCTGCGCGCCCTTGGCCATGTCAAACTCGCCACCACCACCCACAAGTGCCGCCTGGCTGTGGGGAGGCAGCGGGATGGGCGGCGACAATGAGGGGGGAGGGGGGAACGTGCTGACACACACACACACATACACACACAAGTCGAGTGAGACGTGTGATGTATGTCGCTTACTTTGCCCCCGGCCTTAGCGGGACGGTCGCGTCGATGGTGGTCTTCTGGGGGGGCGGGGGGCCGGGACTCTGCTGCTGCTGCTGCTGCTGCTGCTGGTGCTGGTGCTGGTGCTGGTGCTGTGGTTGTGGCTGCACCGGTGGGCTGGCCATGCCCCCTCCCTGCCCCTGCCCCTGCTGCTGCTGCTGCTGCTGGCTGGCATCTCCGCCAGACTGATGTGGCTGTGGCGTGCCGCCCTCACTCGGTTCTGCGGGGGGCTTAGACGGCGAGTGGGTGGTAGTGGTGGTGTGGGCAGCCGACCGCTGCTGTTGTTGCTGCTGTTGCTGCTGCTGGAGCATGTTCATGTGCTGGAGGTTCATCATGACGTTGACCATGTTGGGCGGGAACATGGTGTGGGCGTGTTGTGGAGGCGGCGGCTGGTGCTTCTGCGCCTGTGCGGCCAGCTGCTGCTGCATGGCGTAGAAGATCATGGCATAGGCGCCGAACTGCTCCTGCATCGACTGCAGGGCCTGGGGCGTCACATTGGACGGCAGACTCGACATAAAGTGCCCGAGCCGCTCCTGCAGGGCCTTGGGGTCGTTGAAGCTTGCAGTGTCCATCCCGCCCATGACGCGCTGCATGGCCTTCTCCCAACTGCTGAGGGCCGCCTGGGGGTCGACGGGCTCTGTGCTGCCGTCGGGGGGCGTTGTGGTGGCGGCAGTGTCGTCAGAGGCGCTCAACGGCTGACGGATTGATTGACAAGACAGGCGATGCGTGTGTGGCTCGGGCTTCGGTGGTGATGTGATGTGATGTGATGGTTCTTTGCGTTTTCAGCTTACCTGTGTGGGCGTGGTGCCGTCTGCGCTGCTGAGGTGGGTCGTCAGGTTGGCCGCTGAAGATGCGTTCAGCGGGCCGAACTGCCCCGGAACACCTGACAGACAGACAGACAGACACCAGACAGACAAGAGGGGAGGCGTCACGTCACGGCTGTCCGTGTGTGGTGTGGTTCTGACTTGTCCCGTCTCGACTCACCCATGAAGGCCGACGGCCACACAGAGCCCATCGCATTCGGCGTGGGGGTCGTTGCGCTAGCCACTCCCTGCACACACACACCGCACCGCCCACACCACTCACACACTTGCACGTCACGTCTGTCTCACGCCACGCCCATCCATCCATCCATCCATCCATCCTCACCTCCTTGCCCCCGTCGGATGCACTGGAGCTCCCCCCCGGCCCGTTGCCCGTCGGTGTGCCCCCGGTGCCGGTGCTGGGCGTGCCACCGTTGACGTTGCTGCCCCCGCCCCCGCCGGCAGCGATGTTCTGGTGGGCCATGACGGCGTTCATGAAGAATGGGTTCATGTTGAGCGGCATCCCTGCTGCACCCATGCCTGCACCCATGTTGGCCGCCAGGAGGTTCATGTTGGCCAGTGCGTTGGCCTGCTGCTGGGAGCTGGTGGCGGCGAGCATGTTGGGGTGGTTGGGGATGGCGAAGGGCGTGGGGAAGGGCAGGGAGGGCAGGGGGGAGGATGACGACAGCATGCCGCTGCTGCTGCTGCTGCCGGTGGTTGCTCCTGGGGCAGTGGCGGAGCTCCCTGCCGCTTGTGGAGGGTTGCTGGTGGTGGTGGTGGTGCTGCCCTGCTGTGGGTTTGCGGCACTGACGGTCGTTGCCGTGGTCGACGTGGCAGTCACCGTCTCGCCCGGGGTGCCTGGCCTCTGCCCCTGCTGCTGCTCGCCGTCCTTGCCCACCACCCCATCACCACCTCCGCCACCACCACCACCGAGTGCCATGCTACTAAACGGCCCACCACCCAGAATGGCCGCAACGCCGTCACTCGCCCCCTCTCCACTCACACCCTCTCCCTTGCCAGCGGCATCGCCGTCGCTACCCGGTGTGGGTGTGAGTGTGGGCATGGCACTGGACGATTTGACGCTGTTGGGGACAGACGAAGGGGCGGCGTTGGGCGGGCTCGGGGTGAGGGCCGCCCCTGCAGCTGAAGGTGCGGCGGGTGCTGAGGCGGGTGCTGCTGGTGATGCGTTTGCGTTGGGTCGCCCGCCGGATGATGGGCCGAATGGGTGTGCGCCGAGGATGGCGTCTGCCGATGACTTGTTCTCGTCATGCTCGCTGATCGACTCGAACCGCGGCCGTCGGTCGTCCCAAGAGGGGAATATACCGAACCTGACACACACGCAGCACAACACAGCAGGGCCACCATCCTTCCATCTCCCGCCCTCCCTCCCTCTTTATTTGACTCACTTGGTGTTCTGGTAGTTGTAGACGGGCGATGGCGTGCGTGGCCAGTCCTCCTGCTGCGCCCAGGCGTTGGGGGTGGGCGGACTAGACGAGGGGCCCCCGCCGATGATACCGGGATTGTTGTTGCCCACGCTGCTGTTGCTCCCCGGCTGGCTCGGTAGCAGCGCCCCCGACGGATCCACGATCTGGTGGCTCTCGAGGTCCAGGTGAAGGGACTGTGGTGGGGTGGACCACACAGACAGAACGGCACAGAATGGGAGCGTGGTGCTGTGGCTGTGGCTGTGGCTGTGTGTGGGAGCCCGATTGCTTACCTGTGTGATTTTGGGGTTGTCGACGCTGGTGGTGGTGGTGTCCCCGCGAAGCTCCTGGTCTGACATGGCCGTGAGCGAATTCGACCGCAACCTATTCGGCGGACTCTGCAGACACTCACACAGACAGACAGGAAACATAGCCATCCATCATTGGAACGGTCACACAAACCAACACCCACCCCATCCATCTCTTACCGGCCCGCTTGCTTACCGGCATATTCGCCCCGTCTGCCGTGCCACTAGTGACCCCCAGCAGCGCCCCCGAGAAGAATGACCTGCTGTTGGCGTCGTTGCCGCCCCCTCGGCTGTCGTCCCCTCCCCGCCCAGGGTCATCAGGGAGGGGAAACCGGGCGCCGCCCCAATGGCCGGGGGAAAACGCACCCAACGCACCCGCCAACATCTGCACACACCATGTATAGCACCCCACACCGGCCCACCCAGAGAGAGTGTGTCCAGCCCAGCGATTGGGGAGTGGGTGAGTGAGAGAGTGGATGTGATGTGATGTGTACCTGTTCCCTTAAAGACGGCGGTGCGGACTGACATCCCTCCCTCTGCGCGTTGCCGCCCCCCTCCCCCCTCCCCCCCGCCACTGTGGCCTCCAGGGCGTTGTCCATCGCCGCCGTGGGCGAGCCGGGCATGCTGTCGTCAGAGAACAGCAGCGACCGCACGATCGAGTTGGGCACATTGCCGTCACACTCGGTGTCGCCCTGGTGGTCGGCGTCGCCGTCAGCCACGCCGGGTGGTCCATCGCCACTCACACCATCGGCAGGGCTGTCCGTGGCTGCTGGGGTGAGCTTCCCATCTGTGTTTGCGGCAGTGCTGGTGCTGGTGTGTGTGGAGTGGTCGGGCTGCTCGGAGTTGGGCTGCTGTGGCTCTTCGGAGGGGAGAGAGGGCGGCTGGCTGCCCTTGCTCATGTCGTGTGTGGTCATCTGTTCGGGCGACCAACCCTGAAGGAAGACACGCGGTGGGGGATGGTTGGCTGTTTCCCTGCCGCCTTTCGTGTGTGCCGACCGACCTTGTCAGGCAAAGACGCGGTGCGGTCCCTCAGACAGAGTTAAACCCACCCTGCGCTGCACAAAAAACAGAAACAAAACAAAACACACACAAAGAGAATTGGGTGAAGCGAGGCCGTCACAGACACACTCAGGAGACACAAAGTCTGCCGACCTGGGTGCGTGTGGCACTCAGAACAGCCCACGGCCACGCCTCTGACGCTCCCCTCGTGGAGCTGGCCTGCCTCCCTGCCGCAAACCCTCCCTCTCTGCCCGCCTGGCTGCCGTCGCAGATCCTCCCTGGCCGCCGGAGCAAACCCTCTGCCCGGCTCAGTGCAGTGCCCTCCTAGCCTGACTGCTGTGTTTCGCCGCTGCTCGTCTCACCTTTCAGCCGCGCCTCTCGTGAGCTGGTCGTTTGCAAGATGTCAGCATACTTTTTTGCCAAATCTGTAGACCCGATGTTCTGCTGTGCCTCAGGCTACGAAGCAACGTGAAGCTTGGAGTTTCTCGCTTCGGACTTCAAGCTCGCTTTTCCTCCCCGCGAGCTTTGGGGAGGGAGAGAGCCGTAGGCTTTTTCCCGTGAGTGTGAGGCGTTCTGTCGGCGTGTGTTGACACCCAAGTCCCTCCCGCGACCTTTCCCTTCCCTCCGTCTGCTCCGCCCTCGCCCTCTCTCGGCAGACAGCAGGTAGCCTACCGAGCCGACTCGTCCGCTCTCGCCAGCTAGGACACAACACAGCACGATGGCCGAGGACAAGCCGAAGATCAAGCTGCAGTCCCAGCAGGGCGACATCTACGAGGCAGATCAGCAGGTGGCTTGCATGTCCACCCTCATCAAGAACATGGTCGAAGGTGAGGGTACGTGGGAGGGGCGAGGAAGTGGCGTGTGTGGCGGGAGGGGGGAGGAGGGGAGGCGCCGGCATGCGAGACACGGCTGTCGGTCGGTCGCTGTCACAGTGTTGTGTGTTGTGTCGCAGATTCGGGCAGTGAGGACGCCATCCCCCTGCCCAACGTCAAGACGGCCATCCTGCAGCGCGTGTTGCAGTACTGCGAGCACCACAAGGAGAACCCGCCCGAGGAGATCGCCAAGCCACTCAAATCCACCAACCTCGCCGAAGTCAGTCAGTGAGAGAGGGGGAGAGGGGGGGACCAGGAGAACTCATGTGTGTGCGGCATGGAAGTGTTGTGTTGTGTTGTGTGTGGTCACACAGGTTGTGTCTGAGTGGGATGCTGAGTTTGTGAACGTGGAGCAGGAGGTGCTGTTCGAGCTGATCCTGGTGAGTGAGCCAGAGCAGGCGGGATGGGATCGCCTTATTAACCACCACACACGCGTGTGATGTGATGATGTGTGATGTGTGTGTTGTGTTCAGGCGGCCAACTACCTGGACATCAAGCCTCTGCTGGACCTCACATGCGCCAAGGTCGCCAGCATGATCAAGGTCACCATCACACCATGCCACATCACACCGCACCGGGCCACGCAATGCCACGCACAACACATGTGCGTGCGCTCTGTGTGTGTGTGTTATGTATGTCCCAGGGTAAGACGCCCGAGGAGATTCGCAAGCAGTTCAACATTGTCAACGACTTCACACCCGAGGAGGAGGCGCAGGTACGGTACCTACACACACACACACACACACATCCGTCTGTCTACCCATCCCTCCGTCTGACCATGTACCGTGGGTATGGTGTGGTGTGGTGTGGTGTGGTGTGTGTTGTGTGTCATGTCACCAGGTGCGGGAGGAGAACAAGTGGTGTGAGGACGCGTGAGTGGACGAGCAGCCGGTTCTCTGGGTCAGTCACTGGCTCCGGCTCGGTTGCTCCGTTGCGCACAGACACATGTCAGACAGACAGACACGTACGTGAGTGAGTTTAACTTCCAGATGGATGGATGGACGGCCCGGCTGACGCGCCTACACACACACACACACACACATGCCATGCGTGCCGTTCGTGCTGCATGGATCGATGGATCGATGGATGGACAGACACGTCAAGTCTACTCACTCGCTCGGCCTGCCTGCCTATGTCTTTCACTATCTACCAGTTGTTCGTATGCCTTCACTCACTTGACGCATTTCATTTCTTCACTACCACTAACTATCTCTCTCTGCTTCCGTCCGTGTGTAAGATACAGTGATACAATGATACATACAATATGACTACTGACACGGGCAGGCAGGCAGGCCCCAACCTCTTGACAGAGAGGGAGGGTAGGGCAGGGCAGGGCAGGCAAGGGTGTCTGTCGATCGTATGTTGACGTGTGGTGTGGCGTTCTCACTCGCTCACTGCGGGCGCCAGGCGGTGCGGTCTGCTTGGACAACAGGTGTGCCTGCCCGACGGGCCGATGGTCGGTGCTGGTGGTGGTGGTGGTGGGATGGGCGGCGTGCCACGCTGTGGCTCGCTCCTCTCTCTCGCCTTTTTGCTCTCTGCTTTGCCCGGCCCGGCCCTGCCCTGCTGTGCTCTGCCTTTCTGACCACACAATCACCTTGCCTTCTCTCCCCTACTGCCTGCCTGCCTGCCTGCTTCTGTGCTATCCTGTGGTGTGTATGCTGCAGTTTTGCTCATCATCCGATCGGCCGCTGGTGTGGGGTGGAGCTGGGGGGTTTCCTGACGGATCTGGTACGGTGAGAGTGCCACTTCGGCTTTGGTGGCGCTTCCTCCGTTGCTGGGGGCGGCTGAAGACCCACCAGCAACGCACCCACACCATACACCTGTTATCACCCTCACACATGGATTCACCGCGTTTGCCTGAGGTCGTTTATTTCTTTCCTGCACAGTCTCTCTGTGCCAGCGCGTTTGCGTGTGGTGATTTCGCTCGCTCCCTGACGATGAGATGAGTCGATGAGGATTGTTTGTAAAGCTCCCACGCCGCACTTTCTTCTCACGCACGTCGTTGGTTGGTTTTGCGTCTTCTACACACCGGTAGATGATGGAGGCAGGCAAGGCAAGGCAGTGGAGTGTGGTGTGTGCAAATGGGTGCGTGTGTGGTGACTTGTGTGTGCATCTGTGTGCATCTACCTGTGTCTACCCACGGTGGCTGACTTATGGCTGATGAATGCATCTTATCTACCTTCTTACACACAAACGAATATGTCCCCTCCCCTCCCCTCTTTGTCTCATGAGATTTGAGCTGACAAACCCGCACCGCACTTAATGGCAGGCCATCGATGGATCTGATTCAGCTCATGGGAGTCGATCCATCCATCCATTCATCCGGCAATCCGTACTCAGCTATCGTACACACCCCCATACACACACAGTCAGTCCATCCATTCATCCATCCATCCAGCCGCACTGCAGCGGTCAGTGAGTGAAATCAGCAAAGGGGGCCATCGACGGGGTAGCATGGCAAGCATGGCCACCTCTCCCTGCCATGACACGACACACCCTTCTGCAGATATCACTCACTCCGCCCACCCGCTGCAAGCAGGCAGTAAATAAGGCAAACTCAACTCATTCTACCCACAACGCAATGCAGCCGCGCTCAGCTCACTCAGCAACCGACCAAAGATCGAGGAGGCGGAACTCTGGTGAGTGAGTGAGAATCGTGGGTGAGGTTGTGTGGTATGGTGTGGGTCATCGTCGATGGAGTGGCTGGCTGGCTCTGGCAGATGGGACAGGGTCGGTGCAATCATATCATCCGCCCCCCCGCCCGTCCTCCTGTCTGTCTGTCTGTTGAGTCACCACAACCACCCTGCATCACTCCATCCATCAAGGCATGCTGCTCTGATCTCCTTATCGATCTGCCCACATCCATCCATCCATCCATCCGTCCATCCATCCACCCGTTCCCTCCCAGCATGCATAGACAGACAGACAGACAGACCAAACCACTCCACATCTGCACAACACAACACAACACAGCTCACGCACGCTCCCCTCCCCTCCCCCAACTCTTCAGGCACACTTCAACAACGAGACGCGACGGCCGTGGGAGAGAGAAGTAGAAAGTGAGTGTAAGGTGTGGTCTGTCTACGTGTGGGCACCGCAGCCGAGCTAACGTCAAAAGCAAAAGGGCTGCTGCGCTGCCGGGTGTGTGAAAGGTATCATGTCACAACGTGGTGGAATGGCGTGTGTGAGCGCTATCTTATCAGTCAGTAGAAGCCTGCACCACACGCACACACACAGAGGCGTGCATCCTCCCCTCAGTGTGTCAGGCAGCCACCGCCCGACCTGCTTTGGTTCTGAGTGTGGGGTGGTCGCCGCGGCCCCACGGCAAGTACCCCTTGGTGATCTCACACAGTCTGGATCGAGCAACCACACACACACACACACATACACACATACACACACGTACGGCCACCCATCTGTGTGTGTGTGTGTGTCGGCTTTGCTTACTTGTCTGCACATTTGGTGACGTTTGGGATCTTAACCGGGCCCCCCTCCCAGTTCTGATACAGCCGGGTGGTGAAGCACGTGAAGTCGGCGATGATATCTGCCGGCACGTCTGAAAGTGCACACAGCACAGCACAGCACAGCACACACGGACAAAGGCAGGGCATTGAGCGGTCTCTCGGTCTGTCAGTGAGCCCGTGTGTGTGTGTGCGGATGTGGGTGTGGGTGGTGTGGTGTGGTGTTACTCGATGTGTTGTAGATGACGTGATAGTGGGTGGGGCCCGAACACGCTGACACATCACATGACACACACAGACACAGACGACAGACAGACAGATGCTCGTGCGTGTGTGTGTCCGGCTGTTCGTTCAGTGTGCTCACTGCCGCGGGGCGCCCGGTTGTGCACAACGAAGAAGTCGAAATCGGTCGTCGAGGTGATGGTCGACTCGACGATCGTCTCTGAAAAGACACACACGCGCACAGAGAGAGAGAGAGAGAGACCATGTCTGCCCATTCACCCCATTCTCTCAATCCATCCCGTCGCTTACGCTCCTCCGGATTGTCGATGCGCATCTGCTGCACACGCGACACAGCCGACCCCTCCTCGCCTGCCGGCCCGCCGCCACCACCACCACCACCGCCCCTACCCCCGCCCCGGCCACCCCCACCGCCACGCCCCCGCGAGTCCTCCCACCGTGGCCGGACGTTGCGATCGTCGTCGCGCCCACCACGACCTCCCCCGCCGCCTCCCCCGCCGCCATCCGACTTGGCGAATATCTTCTGGTTGATGCGCTTGTTGACGATTGTGAAGACGAGTTGGATGGTGGGGGGTTGCTGGCTTCTTGGGCGGAGCTCGTCACGGTGGTGGCCCGACTCGGACGCCTGGAGGGCTGCGTTGATGGCCTGCTCGATGACGGGCCTCTCACAGACGAAGGCAATGGCCTTCTGCGAGTCGCCGGCACCGTCACTGAGGCACACAGGTAAGGAGAGGGAGGTTGTCTGTTTGTCTGTGTGTTGTGGTGAGGTGTGGGAGTGGGGGTGGTGGAATACATACCGGTAGACAAACAGTTTGTCTGGGAGGTAGCCCTGGTGGTGCCGGGCGTAGTGCAGGAAGGCGTCTGTGTCACACACACACACACACACATCGAGACGAATGAATGGATTGGCAAGGGCCTGTCTGCCTGTCTGTCTGTGTTGCCTCTTACTGGCCAGGAACGGCGCCAAACCGTTGGCTACTTCAACGCGCCCCCCGTAGAAACTCTCCTGCCCCCAAACACACACACCATGTCAATGACATCCATCCACACACCAACCATATATATGTGTGTGTGTGTCTGACCTCATGGTAGATGCGCGTGAAGGCTGTGTTGGTGGTCGCGATCATGCCACAGCACGTCTGCATCTTGCCGCCGACCAGCTTCCGGATGAAATCAAACCCAACTAACATCACGCGGCTGCACAACACACCACAACACACACACATTCCCTCTCTTATGCGGTGAATGGATGGATGGATGTGTGTGTGTGATTGCTGCCCACCTGGTGTCGAGGTTGCGGGTGAGGTCGCTGGGCGGCTGCAGGGTGTACTGGTAGCCGCCCATCTTGCAACGGATGTCGCCGAAACAACCTGCACACACACACACAGAGAGAGAGAGAGAGACCGCAAAACGGTCCATCGACACGTGTGATGTGTGCGCAGCGCGTGTGGCTGACCGGCCCTTCCCATTGACCTACCCTTGATGGCCATGACGCCTTTGCCGCGGTCGTTGCGATTCCGGAGGTCCTGCACCGCCTCAGAACACTTCTCGAACCGGATGCACTGCATATGGAAGCAACACACGACACCGACACAGAGAGGGTGTCTGTGTGCTGTGTGTGTGTGTTGCGCTGACCTGGGAGGCCACGGGGCAGTTGGAGTGGGCCCCCGAGAGGAACTCCTTGAGCTGCTTGTAGCCGAGATCGCCGTTGGCCTTGGTGCTGAACACACACACACATATATATATATACACACAGACAGACACACACACACTCTCTCTCTCTCTGACCCTTTCGGCAGTATCCAGAGGATCATGTGGATGCTCTGCCGATTCGCCAAAATCTTCTCCTCGATCTCCGCGAGGTCGTCCCGATCGACGTCTGCACAAAGACAAAGCAGCACACCCACACTCCCTCCCTCCCTCCCTGTCTGTCCGTCTGAGTGTTTCGCGTACGCCCGGCGCGTGTTGAGGGGCGAAGGATGTGGTGGTAGTTGAAGAGGTCCTGCGAGCCGTTCTCCGGCCGCGGCGGGGCCTCAAGCCTCGTGCTGCGGGCCGTCTGCAGCACCACCTCGGACAGCGCCTCGGCCTCCTCATAGGCGCCGTGCGGGAAGACTATCATCACCTTGGTGAAGTCCAAACTTGTGTCCTCATCCGGCTGCACACACACACACACACACACATTCCAAACCTCTGTGTGTTGGTGTGGGTGTGGGTGTGGGTGTGGGTACCTCTCTCCTCTCGGTGGTGCGATTGCGGTCGCCTTTGGGGAGGGTGCGCCCCCAGGCCTCGACGGGGGCGGTCTGCACACTCGCGTGGAACTCCTCGATGAGCTGCTGGTTGTCCTTCAGGTTCTTGACGCGGTCCAGGTGCTCCGCCGTCTTGACCATCCTGATGTCTGACACACACACACACACACACACAGACACACACACAGACACACACACAGAGGGGGAGGGTGTGTTGGGTTGAGTTGAGCCTTGTGGATTGCCTACGTGGGGGCATGCGCGTGTAGCGTCCGATGTTGTTCATCATCTGCGGCTCGTTCTTCATGTCCTCGTCCAGACCTGCACACACAGCATCAGTCAGTCAACACACCACCCACACACACACCACAGCACAATGACACTCATCCGGCCAGCCGCCCGGCTCTGCGTCGTGTGTTGTGTGTTGTGTGCTGACCGAGCTTCTGGCAGAAGCAGGCGGGGATGTAGGGCTTGAAGCCGCCCTTGCCGCGCGCCTCTCCCACGATGAAGAACTGCCTGTCGGTGCTGGGCATGCGGCTGTCACCCACCTTGGTCTGCACACACGACACATGCACAGGGGGAGGCGTGTGTGGTGTGGTGTCTGTTGGTCTCGCCCACTCTGAAGTAGTCGCCGTAGCTGATGGTCTGGCCGCTGCCGAGGGTAAAGGTGTCCGACATCTTCATCTCGACAATCTGATGCCATACACAAACAGACAGACACGGACAGACACGCAAGAGAGAGGGAGAGGGAGAGGGAGAGAGGTGGAAAGCATCAATATGTGTGACTGTGTGTGTGCTGTGGTGTGTGCGCACGTCTGCGATGCGGTAGACGTCGCCCTTGTCTTTGTTGGTGGTGTAGGTGGTGATGACCTGCGACCCTCGCACGGCCTCGGCAATCCTCCCCAACGAGATCTCCTCACGTGGACCTGCACACACAACACACAACACACAACACACACACACAGACAGAGATTGCTGTGCTGCTGTTGTGGGTGGTGTGTGGGTGGAGTGCTCACCCCGCTTGCATTTGATGTAGAAGTCCATGGTGTCCTCCATCAACACACGATGTTTCATCGCTACCTGCACACACAGACAGACAGAGAGACAGACAGACACAGACGACAACGCACACACACACACATACACATGGGTGCGAACACACCACAGAAGACAGACAAGATCACGCCCAAGTAACCTACCTCCACCACCGGCGACCCCTCGACAAACCGGGTCGACAGCGCGAACCCCTTGAGCACGAACAACTTGGCCACGTAGTTGCGGAAACTGCACACATTCGTTCGTCCACACGAGCGACCACACCACACCACACCACATATCTGTCGGTTCGGCGATTCGGTCTGTGTGTCGTGGTGTGTGGGTTACCGAGGGTCGGGGTGCCTGAGTGATTTGATCTCCACGGTGGGCGCCGTCCCGCTGGCCAGGTCGAAGTGGAAATCGAAGCCAACCTGACCACCAGCGGAACACAGCAACAGACAGACACAGACACACAACGGTCTTTGGTGCGCGTGTGGGTGGGCGGAGGGGTGATTGAGTACCTGCACCAACTGCACACACGAACAGACACACAGACAGACAGACAGACAGACAGACAGCCACACAGTGCGGGCCAGTGTGTGTGTGTGTGTGTGTTGTTTACCTTGAGGTTGCGATTGCAGACTTTGAAGAGGAAGTCGTAAAAGTTCTTGACCTCCTCCGACATGTCCTCCAGATAGTCTGACGCACACAACAAACGACAGACAGACAGACAGACAGACACTCACGACAGTCACCCTGTGTGTGTGCGTGTGTATGTGTATGTGTGTGTGTATGTGTGTGTGTGCTGCCACCACTCACTGTAGGAGAGCTCCTTGGTATGTGTGAGGGTGATCTGATACGTCAGCCCCTGACGCACCGGCTGCATGAACCACACCCCACACACAAGGCAGAAAACACAGCCATTTCGTCACCTCACCCTCGTCTGTGTGTGTTTGTGTTGTGCTGTGGATTGTGCGTACGACGCTGATGGACACGTTGTCCTTGACCTCCTGCGGCTTGGAGATGATGATGTGGTCACCATCGTTGTACTGAAACAGGCACTGGAGCACCTCGCGGATCTGAACACACACACCACAACACACAATGGCGTCGACCCAGTGCCTGCCTTCCCCCCCGCACCTACCTTGGACTCTCCTCGCCCCAACAAGTTCTGCTTTTTCCGCTTCACAACCTGCACACACAACAGAGAGACACACAGTGACGACTCCCACCCTCCCCTCCCCTCCCTCACCAGGTCGGTGCTCCCCGTGCGGGTCGAAGTCGCATTTGTAGAAGATCCATGTCGTCACGCCGCGCGGCACGGTAGGCGTCACGCGGAAGTTGTTCGTCACCACCTGAGTGGGACGGCCTGCGGGGTTGCGGGTGGCCGCGGGGCGGGGGGCGAAATTCTTCCGGGCCTCCTTGAGCTGCGCGCGCTTGGGAATCTCCACCATGGGCGGCACCGGCACCTCCTGCTGCACCAACCAACCAACCAACCGACACACAGAGGGGACGACAAAACGACACGAAGATGACATCCGAGGACGGCTTTCCCCTCCCCGCGCCCCTCCCTGCCCCCCTCCCACCCCCTCTCACCTCCACGTCCATCATCATTCCTCCGTTTCCGCCTGCAGCGGCCGCAGACGGCTCCTCCGGCGAGCGACGGGTCTCCTCGGGCGAGCGACGAGGCTCCCAGCGAGGCGGCTGCTGGGTGAAGCGGGTGTCACGTGGCTCCCGAGTGTCCCGACGACGGTCTCGGTCTCGGTCATCCCGCCCTCTGTCCCGCCGACCACGGTCATCGTCCCACCGGCCTCGACGGCCGTTTCCTCCACGACTGTCCATATCGATGAATCGAACAACACGCTGGTGCTGTCCACAAGAGGGGAAACTGCTTCTTTTCTGACTCGACGAACGCGAGCTCGGAAATCAAGCTCGCGCAGATCTTCGTCCTTTTCTCATTTTGGAGCACTCCATGCCCCTCGCGGAGACCACCATTGCCTCCGCCGCGTCAGGGCGCTCCCTGTGATGTGCAAATCTTCCCCGGCCAGTGACATGCCACGGGGAAGGTGCCGGAGTTCGCCGTAAAGTGGCTGGAGGAGGAATTCGAACAGGTGTGCTCTCGCTTCCACACAGGTGTGCTCTCGCTTCCACACGGGTGTGCTCTCGCTTCCACACAGGTGTGCTCTCGCTTCCACACGGGCATGCCCTCGCTTCGCTCGGGCATGCACCCCATCGACGCCACACTCACACCCCCTGCCCCTGGCCGCACCCTAACTAAGCGCCACCTCGGCGATCCAGGGGAGCAGTTCCCCGGCGCATGATTCGAGTACTCTGTCTGTCCCTTCTGACGGCCTGCGCAGCCACATACGGCGCCTCCAGAACCATGAGCGACAGTCGGCCCCCATCGCCGTCGCCGGGCGACGAGGAGCGGCGGGATTGCTCCCTTTGCGGCGAGTCCCGCCCACTGAGCGACTTCGTGGCTCTGCATCAGGGCGCCGCCTGGCCACCTCCAGGGACCGACGGGAGGTGCCGCGTCGAGTACTGCCGTTACTGCGTGGTCCGTCTCGGCAGGAGGCGGAGCCGACAGCCCCATCGTCACCGGCATCTGGAGCGGCGCCCGGAGCAGCGAGGCTGTGTATGGGCGGCCTGTCCGGCATGCCGCCAGTTGTATTGCCCGGAGTGCGTCCTGGGCGTGGATTCGCTGCGTGAGGTGCCGGCTGATCCGCTTGCCCCCCCGCCGCCTCCCCCCGACCACCGCCAATGCCCTCTCTGCGACCACCCCTACGGACCTGGGGAGCTGCGACACGTCCCGTGTGAGTGCAATTCTCTGGCGTGCCCCGGGTGCACCGAACAAGCACGCAACCCGCGGTCGGGCGAACTTGTCTGCCCCTACAGCCAGGCCCCCGAGCACTTCTACTGGCACGAGACCTTCATGGACCTCATGCTGCACTACACTACGGCCCCCAGCTGCGCGCCCGCCCGCTGCCCGGCCACAGCGACGGCCTCCTGCCGCTGCTTGCCAACCGGCAGCACGCCCGCCGCCTCGGTATGGCGGTGTGGCATGCCGAACGCGGGGAGTGGGCGCACCTGGACGCTTCTGCGAACTTCGACCAGGCCGTCGTGCAGCGCGCCTATGAGCTGACCGGCCCGATCTTCCCCACCCTCGACGAGCTCATCACGCGTGGCACCCTCCTCGTCTCTGGCAGCACCCGGATCCGGTTCCAGGTGATCGACGAGCCTGGATGCGGCGGCAACTGCGCGCTCAACGGTGTCCGCCGCCAGCTGCACGCATATCGCCGTCGCCGGGCAGCGGTCGGGCGGCCACATACGGACCGCCTTCCCGACCCGATGCCCTCAGCCGTCGCCCTGCGCGGCCGGCTTGTCGACGATCTGCTCCGGCGCCGCATCGCGGGCGAATTCGACGGGGTTCTGCTGTATCGCGGCAACACCGACGACGCCGTTCACGCCGACGCCTATATCGAGGGCATCCGGAGTGGAGGGGAAGGGCTGAGTGAGGTGGAGATGCGGTCGGTGGCCAACATGACAGGCGCCACCATGGTTCTGTGCGACCGGCGTGCCGTCGAGCCCCAGCAGCAGCCGACGGCCCCCTTCCCCGTCTCTGTGCGGATGGTCGTCCATCCGGAGCCGGCCTATCAGGCTGCAGGCACCCCTACGGTGCATCTACTCTATCTTCATGGCCATTGGGTTTCTATGGTTCCCGCCGAGTCCCAGGCGTCGGGCGGGCCGGGGCCTGAGAGCGGGCCGGCTGCCCACGGACGGCGCGACAGGTCAGCGGCCCGTCCTACGTACTCCGTCCTGGGCCTGCTGGGCGAGCTTGGAGAGCCCGATGCGGCGGGGGCTGCGTCAAGAGGCGACGAGAGGGAGATCGATGCAGCAGGCCGGGAGGAAGGTGCTGCGGATGGAGAGCCCGATGCGGCGGGGGCTGCGTCAAGAGGCGACGAGGGGGCGAACGATGCGGCAGGCAGAGAGGGAGGTGCTGCGGATGCCGCTGGCGGCGAGGCGACGACTGCCGAGCGCCACGAGCCCCGCGATGAGGATGCCGCTGTCCTGGACGGCCGCCCTTCAACCCACGACGCCCCGTCTGCGGCGGCAGTCACCACTCGCCTGGAGGAGCTACGCGCCGAGGACGCCCTCGCTGCTCAACTGAGTCACCTGCACACCGACGAGACCCGCCTGGACCCTCCTGCTGTTCCGTCACTCGCCTCGCCTTCCGTCCGACGCAGGGTGACAGTGACGAGCGACCCCCCTCGTGTGGTCGTGGAGGTCCAGCTGGCCGACCACTCCGAGAGCCGAGGGGAGCGGGGCGGCTCGCAGCAAGAAGACCTGCTCCTGGGATCGAACTCGCAGTCCATGGACCCTCGTGATTCTCACTCGGGTGAGCGTCGGGATACTCCTCCATCGGACGAGCATCGGTGTCCATCTCAACCTCCCGCCCGGCCGCTCCTGCCCCACACCCGAGAGGACGAGGAGGCCCTACAGAGGGAGCTGGCGACGCTAAACGAGGACCGCGCTGTGGCAGAGCGCATCGACCGGGAGGAGGAGCTGCGCCGTGGCCGCCGTCGCCCCCGCGCTAGACAGCATGGCCGCTCTCGCCGTCGCCGCCTTGGCTCGGCCGACCGCCTCACGATCATTTCCCCGTCGGCCAGCAGCGGTGCGAGCAGCGGCGACGACCCAATGGACATCGACTCGCCGCACCCCTCGCCACCGGCGCCATCACCCCTGGGCGACCGGGCGGCGGGCGAGGGGTCGGCCCAGAGACCGCCGAGGCCCCCCCAGACCTTGGATGAGTTCATCGCGGCCGAGGGGCCCAACCCACCTGGGGTTCGCTCGCATCAAGCCATCAGGCGGGCTTGGGCGGATCCTCCCCCCGCCCTGGCCCGGCAGGCCCGCTCGCTGTCGCCTTCTCGATGCCCCCCTCTGCCCACTGGCCGCCGCCGCAGCGACTCGGAGATCCGGACGACCGTGTCGGCCGCACGGGGCGCTCTAGCCGGCGGGCGATCCGCTGCGGGGGGCCTGCGAGGCGGCAGGCGCTCGCGGGCAGCAGGACGGCCGGGCCCCGATGCGGGAGTCGATCCGAGGGGCAGTCGCGGCGCGGATTCCCATACCGATAGCGCCGCCGAAGGGCCACGCCGCACCGGCACTCGGAGGTGCCGCGATCGTGCCCTGCAGCAGCCGCCGCAGGCAGGGGCACGTCGATCGGGGCGGGAGCGGGGCGACGAGTGATGTCGGGCCTGCGGGCAGTTTTGCCATGGCCACTGCGGCGCCACGGCACGTCGCTCCCGCCGGGTGAGAGGAGACGGCCGGTGCCTGAGCTGCAGAGGGTTCTATCACGGTCGATGCGGCGCTGAGGAGCGTCAACGCCGAGAGGCCGAGGAGCTGAGGCGTCGTGAGGCTATGGGCGGGGCTGCCCTCGATCAGGACTGTGTCCCACCGGTGGCTCGTCAGCACGGCCCTGCCCTGCCGGCAGGAAGGGGCCGCCAGGCACGGCAGACGCCGCAGCGTCGCCCGCCGCCCCCCAGTGGGCCTCCGAGTGGCCCTCCTCCCCCACCCCCGCCCCCCACACAATCGGCTGACGGAGCTGCTTCGGGCTTGGGGGCTGCGACCGTCGGCCCGCCCCAGGTTCGCCCCGCAGGCCACCCGCCCGCTCACCCTTCTGGGCGGCCGACTCAACGGGGCCGTCCGCCCCGCCAGAACTGGCAGCCTCGCCAGCGGCCACCCCGTGGGCCTTCGGGTGGCTCCCCTTCTCGCGCGCCGCCCTCTGCGCCGTCAGCTGACGGCCACTGGCACCGCTCGCACCGTACCCTGCCGCCGTCTGCGGTGCAGTTCCTGACCGGCCGTGCCGAGGCAGCCCACATCGACCAATTCCAGCGCGCCATACGCACTATCGAGCGCGTTCCTCAGTGCGTCCGTCTAGCCCTGCGGGAGGTTCTGGAGGCGGTGGAGCAGCTAGTCGCGACGTCAACGGACGGCGACTCCGACGCTGCCTGTCTGGTGCTGCTCTACATCCCTAACCTGCTGCTCTTCCCGATGAACCGCGGCAGTGAAGCGGGCTCTCGCAAATGGGGTACCCGCTTTCTTCGCTTCTGGCAAGGAGACTGGGAGGGGCTGCTCGCCGAGGCCGGCCACTTCGCGCCACAAGGCCGACACGTCTTCGCGCCCGCCGGTGAGGGCCCCATCGAGGGACAGAATAGCCCCTCATTCGACGCCGTCCGGCAGCGGGCTGCGGCACGTTTGATCGCCCGCGGCGAGCTGTCTCGGGCGGCGGATCGACTCACATCGGCCCCCGTGGCGGAAGCTACCCAGCACACCCTCGACCAGCTGCAGGCGCTGCATCCTGCCGCGGCGCCCGTCACCAGGCCCGACGCATCTGCGGGCGAGGGCACTCGGCTGGAGGCCCATCCCGAGTTTCTGCTGGCCGCCCTAAAGACAGCCCCGCGGGGGTCCGCTGCGGGGCCGTCGGGGTGGCGCTACGAGCATCTGCAGGTGTTTGTCGGCGAGGCACGCAGCAGCGCCGAGGCGGTGCCCGTCGTCCGCTTCGTGCAGAGGATGCTGGACGGTAATCTCCCCCCCGTTGTGACCAAGCTGCTGGCAGCGGCCCGACTGTTCGCCTTGGAGAAGCCGGGGGGCGGAGTGCGGCCGATCGCCATCGGCGCCGTCCTGCGCCGCTGGGTGACTCGGGCGCTCTGCATGCAGCACAAGTTGGAATTCGAGGAGGAGTTCCAGCCCCACCAGTTCGCCGTCGGCACGTCGGCAGGCGGCGAGAAGCTGGTCCGAGCGGCACAGACCTACATCGAGACGCCCGACTCAGACCCCAGCGTTCGGCGCACCCTTCTCTCTCTCGATTGCCGTAACGCATTCAACGAGATCAGCCGTCAGCGGATCCTCGACGAGCTGGCCAGCAAGCATCCGGCGATGGTTGCCTTCTTCTGGCAGTTCTACGGGGCGGCTGCGCCTCTCTGGTACACGATGGAGGACGAGAGGGTGGAGACGATTCTCAGCCAGCAGGGCGTGCAGCAAGGCGATGCGGCGGGCCCTTTTCTGTTCTGCCTGGCCTTCCAGCCTGCCCTCCGCAAGCTACAAGAGCAGTTCCCCGACGCGCTCGTCGCTGGCTTCATGGATGACGGCCTTGGGGGGCATGGACGAGTGGGTGGTGGCCCCCTTTCTGACGGCGGCCGCGGCGGAGTTTCTGGCGGTGGGCTTGGCGCTGCGCTTGGACAAATGTCGAGCGTGGTCCCCTCACTGGCGCACACCTGCCGACCTCCCCATAGCCATCACTCGCCGCGGCGTCCGCGCGTCCACCGACGGCATCATCATCCTCTCTGCCCCGATTTGCACGCCTGCCTTCGAGGACCGCACTCTGCAGGCCATTGTGGCCGGCCATCAGCGTCTGCTCGACGCGCTCGTCGCCTTCTCCAGCGACAGCTGGGACTTTGCCGTCCAAGGCGCCAACCTGCTGCTCCG